CACTGGGCTTGTCAGAATGGTTCGATTGACCGGATAAATTACGACTCATATGAGAAGAGAAAATATCATTCTAATTTTCTTATCGTTTAGTCAGTTAAGCTCCTCACAACTGCTTAAAATATATGAAGGTATTTAATGTTGATAATGTTGACGTTCTTGTTCAGCTTAGAGACGTCAGTGTTATCCTAATTTAGCGATGCTGCCAAACTAAACGACGCGCATAAATTTCTAAGGTGAAAGGTTTTGTATAATCGATTTTTTTGTTCCCCTTGTCTCGACATTTACGGGAATCCTCCTTGAACATACCTAAGAAATATGAGTGCATGCAGTTGACAACTCCTCTTCATAACCTTGATGGAATAAATGCTGCCGAGAATAAACCAGGACAACTCTTGGTTATTAAGATGTTTGAAACTGATAATATATCGTGTCTGCACAAGATAAAGGCTGACGCACTACTCTACTCACTGATGTACACATATTTGGACCAAAATATTTTTATCGATCTCAATCAGCTTTTGAATTTAAAGAGAAAACCGCTCACACTAACTTTTGATTCGACCTTGAGACTCGTTAAAACAGCAAGAAAATGGGATTCCAAACTAAGCCTACCGTCCTAAAAAACATGCACCGACGCAAAACACAGTTTTTTGACAACACCTTCAATCGTAAGGAACCTGTTGAGCTTCTAAATAAGAACTGGCGGAACAGCGTGTGCTCGTGGGGTCCCGGGAGTTTTCCCTTTGTACTCACATTAATGACACTTACGGGTACCCTTGTGGCCTCTCACATGATCCCCATAATGCAAGTTCGCTCTTATTTACTAGACAAAACGTTTCAAACAATAAGTGAGCTCAATAGGACAGGTGTGACTGACTATGCGCCGATGTTTATGCAGGAAAATTGGCCTGTGTACAGTTACGCGGAAGGTGTTGACCAGATTATGGATCTTGTTGAGAAATCGCTTCAGCAAATTCGGAATGACTCGGACGCACAAAAGACCGTTATGTCAGAAAGTGAGTGTTAGTCAAATCACTGCATTTGAAGATTGCCAGTTATCAACGTCAGGTTTTTTGGTTAGGCTTAAGGACTTAGACTTGTTGACATCCGTTTGACCTTCCTAATTTCCGGATTTCGTGCTTAATTACAAAAAAATCTGATCGATTAGTAAGGGCTAAAGTGTAAGCACTACTTTTTTCATTCGTTGTAAAGGAAAGGACTTTGAAAATGCAGATATTTACTTTACAAATTATTTTGTCTATGCCACGGCATTATTTGAATTTAAAACAGTGCATCAGCAGGAAATAAAAATTCCCATTCTTACCCCATTTAGTCCCCCAAAATATCTTTCGAGCAACCGTAGTTTCTTTTCGGTGGTTTTGAATGTACACTCAAACCCAAATTCTCACAAGTGGGTGGATTTTTTTCCAGTAAAACACGAGAAACGCGGTCTCACACTCTCAGGACGTGTCTAGAACTTACTTGCAGTTTGTAATCTGTGTCCATTTTAGGAAGGCGACTTGCTGTCTACTGGCGCGACTGCTCCACATACTACCCCATCCTCATTACCCTCCTGCTCGTATCGCTCTCGATGCATCTGGTTCTTCGGTGCCATCCGATGTGGCGTGAGGCCTCCCTCCTCACGCCCTACTTTGGATTGATCGTTTTCCACTGTGCAATTAGTAAGTCTTTTAGTATAACGTTTAACTGTGTTCGTTTTTGTGGGATCAATTGGGAGTGTGACCTTATTTCAGTCGTTACTTAGCTATCTTAATAGAGATGCCGGCTTCTTAATTTAAAAAAAATAAAACAATAGCAACATTTGGGCTTACACTAAATTCAGTTCACTTGCCTTTTGTCTCCCTTTTTAGTTTTGGTTCTTTGTTTTGCAAATAATTGGACAACTTCACCACAAAAATCGTTTGCCTAAAAGCTACCTGCTTTCAGGGGGGATTTACTCACCCAATATATTTTAACCTTCTGTCCTTACACTCTCTGGAAATCATTTTAATTTGCTCCATTAAAATAAGGGCACCAATTCTGAAATTGGCCTTTAATTTCTCCCAAAAAACTTAATGGCAATTTTAAATAGTGAAACTGAATCCTAGAAAACAGGTTATTTGTATATCCATGGTAAAAAGAGTTATCGGAAGTCCTCGTTCTCATTGCGAACAGATCATTTTGTTCCGATAAATAACACACCAAGGTTCTGGCAGCTACTAATTGCAGCATAGACCACAATTCGCCTAGTTTCTGAAAAAAAAGATGAAAGAATAGTCCATGCAGTATCATGCCTCAGGAGTCCAACCAGAGTCCAGTCAAATTTCCAGCAAAGCCGGCTTAGGTTAAAAAGTCATTTATCCTAGGTAGACAAGCCAATAAAGGAAATAGTACTGCCTGGTTAACGCCGATTGTCAGGTCCAGAATGACAAGAACCTATCCCAGGAAAGTGAATACGTGTAAGGGGCCTGGCTATGTTACAGTGTCAAAGGTTAATTATGCTGTTACATAATTTTCTGTAATACAAAAATTTAAAAAAAACGGTAGAAGCCAATTATTTACTCTTACACAAGTCTGAATTTGACTGGTTTAAGTGTCACCGAAAACACGTTTTGAAGGTGCAGATTTATCCTGATTTTTTGTACACGAAATAGATGTGCGTCAGCATTAAAAAGCAAACATGTTTGATTACAAACTTGAAAAAAAATACACAGATTAACACATGTTTGCTACAAGGAATTTTTTACCAAAATTTGTCACTCTCTGGTAACCATTTACATACCCTTTTAAACAGTTTATTCAACCTTTGACACACAAGCACTACAAAGCCATGCACGTAGTCCCGTTTGCGGAAGATAAGTTGCCAGCTTTCTAGAAACGATCCTTAAGACAACATCAGCCAAAGTGTTCTCCTGTCTGGATGGTGATCTTATGTGAACACGATTCTTGCATGCTTTAATGCTGATGATTGCCAGAGCCATAATAGGTTAAACTAGTGAAGATTTGAAACATGAGCAAAACTACTTCTCGTTAATTCTGGCCTTGCTGTTTTTCCTGATATTCGGGGATTTAAGACAGTGGTCTTAAATAAATTTGACAAAATCGAAGGCTTTAGCAACAAAAGAACGCATACCACCTTCAATTGACAGTGTCTTGGTTGCAGTCAGGCAAATAAATGAACATAGGTGTCTATCCAGATTAGCCTTCAATTGTTAAATATTCCACAAAAATGGCAATCTTTAGATAAAGGAAGCAAGAAGTTAGTGAGAAAGTGCATCAGCAAAATGTTAACAGTACTTTAATCTAGTCAAACCTCCTCAGCAGATCAAAGGCTCGATTAACCCGAACTGCAACGCGTCCCGGAAACAAACTATAGACTTTTGATCGTGACAGTTGGGATTTAGTGTCTTAATGTGTAGTCAAAAACCATCATCTGTGACGAGACGGTTAGTTTATTTCAAAGTAGGCACAAATCCAAGCATTAAAGCACTATCACAGATGTTGACTTGTTGCATTGTCGTTTTTTTGAAACAGTGATTCTGCAGTTGGCTACGTTGTTCTCCAATGTGAAGATGCATCGCGCGGTAAACAAGCTATTCAAGAACGTTAGTGTTACCCGCTATGAAGAGATCGGCGCTGGCATGACCATACCGATGGTGGTTCCGCTTACCTTCTGCATCGCCCCGCCAGCCAACTTCTCAACCATATACCTTCTAACACTCTTCACAAATGCCCTCACCATCTTCGTATTTTTAGATGCCATGGATTCGGACTCTTAGGAAGGATGTATTTTTTTGTACAACCATTTGAAGAAATGACCTCGACTCACTGAAGCGCACTTCAGAACCAGTTTGACAATTTAGTTGTTTTGGCTTTCTAAATCAGCATTTGTGCTTCCGATAGGTTCAAGCTGTACTACAAGTTTTGCCGGGTTTAGGAGTGTGAGCTTTGTATTTTTTGAAATTGCGTTCCGAAGCCTGAGATGACCTTCTAAAGTGGATTCATGTGGATTGGGATTGTCTATCAACATAGGGTCAAGACGCATGAAGTTAACTCACCGTCTGACCGTTAACTACAATTTTTAATCGTCACAATCCACGAGCAAATACAAGTCTGCGTTTCTTTGCCTTTAAGTTCAGTATCCATCGGTAACTTCACCGATTCGGTTTCGCACCTCGATAGTAAATACAAAACAGTCTGGTCCTTGATTTTGTGTCAGTGCCTAGAAATAAATTTACTTTGGCAATAACTTAACGCTGATTAAAAGAGAGCTGTGTTTAAAGCTACCGCAATACACTAGATGTTATTAACTGTTCAATCACCTATCCAAATATCATGGAATTTATTCAAGACCGCTAGTCGCAAATCAGCTTAGGTCTCACAACCTCCACAATACTAGCGTCTGTGTCCACTTGGGTTTCCCGCATTCCACTTTATTTAATAGCTCGGTCTTGGCCTCATTACGAAGAGAGGGCAGGAAACAAAATAATTAAAACGCAAGCATCAACAGACTTTCGTCATAAAACTGCCATCATTTTCTTTCCGAGGTGCCGATTACGCAACAACGTAAGACTAATGAGAGTTGTTTTTGGATCAGATGGTGTTTTTTTACATTCCATGCCAGAGAAACAAATTTTGAATGACTTGTATATTTATTTATAATGCTTCCCTAAAGGCGACGGCAAAACGTCTAATATTTCAGTCAAAAACACACAAATGTAGGAGGACTGAATCCCCAAGAGTAATGGTGGCTTTTTCAAAGTATAAATTAAATTGGATCGTCACGTCATTGCCAACAAACGTCATGCTTCTACCGATTAGTGAATGCAAGATTCGTCCCAAGTTTACCAATTACCTGGTCGCAAGTGTGCTTCCTGAACACACTAAGCCAAAGACTTGCGCTCAGTTGGAAGCTTGTCCTCAATTCGGCGCTATTTAGGGTCACACTCCAAAGTCAAATCTCAATGCTTCAAGGTTGTAAACTCATGGAATCCCACAATGCTATATTCCACGTAGGTAAATAAGCTCCACCCCCCCCCCGTCTGAACCCCCTAGTGAGGGAATTGGGCAGCCAAATCCCTTAGTGTAGACAGAGTGGTCGACAGAAATTTGAGAAGCAATTTTTCAAAGGCCAAATAATTGCGGTTAGGAGGCATCGAAGTAGCTTGGTCACTGAGACCTCTCGGTGTGTTTATCCAGCTTCCAACTTTGCTCACAATTTGAGGCATGAGGCAAAGTAAGATCTATTAAGGTTATGCTCAGGGCATTTGCAGTTTTAACCTATTTCGAAGGCATCGTTAGTTAATGGATTAAATTTGGCTCTCATCCACCCAATGCCAGAAGTTTGAAAAGTAGGTTTATTACGTTGTAATGTAAATTCTACTTAATGAACCATTTGGCTAATATTGAATCAGCTAAGCCAATGGGAAAGATGCAAAATTGTTTGCAAGATGCACACATCTTGTTTTTTGTTTCGGAAAGAACAATTCAAGAAGGCATTATTATTATATTTAGGAAAACTATAGATGTGCTACTTTAGTCAGCGACCTTTCCACACCTCTCCGGTCGCGAACTAGTACAAGGCAAGTTAACACCATTAAAATGCTCCATTTTACTTCAAACAGATGGGAGTTTGACTGTACAAGGGCTGAAGTGACACCCATTTTGAGGAGAGCAAAGCCCTGTCTAATGGCCGACTCAGGTTTCCATACATTAATCACCTGAAAATCACTTAGTTTGCTTTTTATTTATCAGATTCTAGGCACAATTTTGAATAATCTTCAAATGCACCGGTGGCAAAATTAAATTTTATGGTCTGAACAGGCCACTCTCTCCTTTACAGCGATTTTTCCAGTAAAACACATTTTTTGAACTGTAGCGATTCACATAAGATGCGGCTTACGCATCGTATTCAACGAATGAATACAATTCAACTACTTTCTTCTCCAGTCGAATGTCGGTTGAAACTATTGGTTTTCGACGGAACATCCAGCAGGTTAGATATCATTATTGTCGTTTGAACCTCAATTCATTTACTTCAATAGGGACAAAGCACCCACACAACATAGTTTCCACCGCTGATTCAAATACGTAGTAAATGACGAAAATAATGCAGTTCAACACTCGACCTGAGCCGTTATACAAATCACGATTACAAAAACTACAAAAAGTGTTATTTGCATATTTTAAGATTGTGAGCTTTCACCAATACTTCATACCAGTGTGGGAGTTAAGGAAACAGTTGCCTCACGACTTTGTAAGAAGCTCATTTTTGATAACCAGTTAATCTCTACAAGCAGTGTTTTTGTGGCCATTTAGAGTACTTAGGCGAAGGAGAAAGTGTGAACGAAACCACGTTTTTGCATATTTATAAGATTAGTCACTCTGTGCTAATGGAAGTTGATGACTTCATTGTTAAACCGTTTGTATAATGACATCATTTGAATAAATTACTAACTACACTAGTCTCATGCTCTTCAAATAACTTGGCAGAAGCGGTGGTTTCTTGATAACATGGTCTTTGATATTCTCCCGAAAAAGCACCAACACGAGACCAAAAAGTGCAATTATGTAGGATAGTAAATGTAAAAAAAGTATTAGTGCTTAATTTTAACAAAAAAACCTTGGTCACAAATAAGGCGACCTGTCATGTGAATTCGTAACTATACGAGAGAACAAGAGATTTGCATACCATGTGATTTTACAGGCGCGGCATCTGTGGTGCAAGTTAGAGAAAGAGCCCGTCAAAATGTCACACTCCGAAGTCAAGCCATTTAGCTCGATTGGTGAGAAATTGCTTTCACAGTGTTAGCATCAACGTCTGACAATGACACCACATCGCACAGGAAACTGTCGCTGACATGACTATGCAGCTTTCGACAAATCACCTGTGGGATTTACCTCAACCTTCCTTATCGTAGATAAACAAGCTCGGTTGGAAGTTATGGCAACGGTGAAGTCATTCTATTTTCAACATTGCTTTCTTACTAAAAACAAGGCTGTATCTCAAACAGCAATAATGTCTACATTCCGCAAGTCATTTAGACCAATGAAAGGCATCTTCTGAAATCTAATTGTCACCGCATGTAAAGTCGGTATGATTAGTAGAAAGAAGGAATGTCAAATCAAAAGTATCATTTAAAAAATAATCTCTGCAAATACATAAATTTTTCGATGAATTTTAGCAACGTATTATCAACTATTCTTCAAATTGAACGATTGGCTTTGGCTTTAGGTACTTGATTAATCGATTGTTTTGTTAAAGGGTGATCAACAGACGCTCGATTTGTACAAATTTTCAAAGTATGTTTCGGAGAAGAGCGACAAATTTGGCATAAAATCAGGTAGTCCGCCTGACTTTAAAGGCCAATGCCCACAACATATTGTGAGTACAGAGAAATGTTCGTCACAATAGCATGAGCACCTTCGAGGCGTCGGACGTGTGTGCAACTTGAATAAATCCTCGCGATTGCTATTGGTAGCTCAAGCACCTATCAGAAAGCCAAAAGTAAGAAGACATTCGTGATTGGTTTAATTTTTTCCGTGCGTGCGAGCAAGCTTGAAGTTTTCGTGGTGTCGATGATGCATCTCCAAGGAATTCGCGCGACTCCTCGGCAAATTGCGCTGAGGTTGTGATTATCAAGGACCTTTTTCAACAAAATATGGCGAGTCTTTTATCTATATGTCTTGTTTGTTCATTTCTCTTTCTCGTCCAAAATTAATTTTCATTAGTTTTCCTGCAATTTCCTTTTGTTTTGATGCAGAACAAGACAGTCTAGCTTAAATGGGCAAATTGCATTTTATTATTGATGTGTTTTTATGGAATAGAGGCAATTTTAATTGAAGTCGAGTCTAAGTAAAATCAAAAAAACTCCACCAAATTGATTACGGAACATTGTTAAGCGAGGTGACAGGATACTTGACATGAGTACATATTGGACAGTTTGGGTTCGCGAACAAGCGAAAGACTTTACCAGTCAAACCTTAAAATTGTTACGACATCAAATAAGCAATCAAACAGTCACGTTTGCTGACATTGGATGTTTAATCACGCCAATAGCGTGGCGAATTTAATAATTTATTAATATTTGCCTGAACGGTAATAGGCTTCAATGCCCACACGCAATTTACCAGACTATTTACAATAATTAAACTGCTGTTTTGTGCAGCTTCTTATGTCCCGAATTGGTGTTTCCACATTTACCGTCATTATGAAAATTAAACAGAATACAACAGCCTATCAGAACAAAGTTTGAAACTTTGGGCCAACGGTCTAACACTTTGCGAATCCCTCATGCAGATGTTGTGAAGGAAAGAGCCCAATAGCTGATCGCTTATTTAATTTTTGAAAAAATTAATTTAGTGATTCCATAACGTGGGTGCAATTTAGAGTCAAGTATTTCAGTGCAGTCAATGACGTAGGTCTTGCATGACTCATGGCTTTTCACAAAATTAACGTTGTATACATTGTTACACATAGCTAAAAATTTTCCGCTTCTGAATGTCTACATTTGTAGAAGTAGACAGACCGGAGTTTCAGTAGAACTTATCCGATGTCTGAGCGAGATTCCGCATGGCTTCGGGCATGTAATTTTCTAATTTACCCAAATAGATATGTGTGCATTCATAGTTTTTAAAATGCGTACATTTTCCAATCCAAAATGCTCACGCATTGCAACCTCGCGACTTTCCAAACTCCAATCGCAACTTAAAAAGGTAAATGTTTCATGCACTGCACAACCTCGACTCGAAGGCCTTGTGAACCAGCGTAGAGCGTGAAGCTGTCGCCACAGCCTTCCGCGACCACGAACGACACTTCGGTGGAAGGTAGTAGCCTGCTCCCGCAGAAATACGTGGGAGTACAGGTGAAATGAGTCACACCGTCGACATCTCGACGTGGATAGAAGGTCTCTATGCAAATTAGCCCACTTTCGAGACCCTGTCGCCACAATTGCATTCTTTTTTGATGAGCCAACACGCACACACACACATACATGCGCACTTTTACGTAATATTCACACTTACCCCACGAGAAGGTCTAGTTATTCAGTCGGCGTGAGAATAAATGGTCTGCCGGAAAGATGGATTACTATAGCTCTGAGGCTAGTACTATGTTTACTGCACAAATCGATATGTTCTGCCGTCCAAACCTTTTTTGATTCTGCAACAGACATATTAGGGAGCCACCTAGACCAAGCCGTGTGGTTCTGGACGTGTAAAGCAGCCATCTTTCTAATACTGGAACAAAGTGAGGATTTTGTAAAAAATATGCCCGGCATCATGATGACGTTTAGCTGTAAATCATAGTTACCGTGGCAAATTTTGTGTATGCATTGAACTATTCCTAATTCTCTTAAGTAGGAGCTAGTTCAAATCTTGCCGCAGACCAGAAATCTCCGCTTCTACTTTTGCGTGCTCGTGTTACTCCTGCCATTTGCCGATCTCACTCAATATCCGGATTGCAAACACGGTGGAAAACATGACTTTTCCAACGGTCGTTTTAGGTAAACACACAGCAAATGCCTGTAATTTGTGCGAATGTATTAAGTGCCGACTACTTGCTATTTATTGCGAAAGTGTCAATTTTATTCTTTTTCCAAAACACTTATATTACGCTATTTTCTCGAAATGAATCAGCTCAGAATAGACAGAGTACAATTTTACTTGTGCGATCTCCCTTTAAACTATATAGATTAGAATCATGAATGTTTAAGGCTTAAATTTTGTCTTTAAAATGTTTAAATACATGGAAATTTGCGTGAAATTCTGTAGATAATTGTTCGAAATAATTATCTTAAAGTTGTCAGCCACACAACACTTGTTGAGGGGGCATCAGTGACCTGGCATCTTCATGTGTATGAATATCTACCGCAACAAACAACTGAGGCTGATTCAAATTGCACAGTCACATTTGAGACTCACCTTTGACTTTTTGTATCCGTACACTTAACCGTGAATATCACAAGGCGCCAAAGCCTTGATTTCAACACGACCAGCTTTACCATCAGCTAGATCCAACGTTTTCTTTTCAGTAAATCCAATTTCATTAGAAGTATCCCTTCAGGAAACTAACATATCTTGGCTTGCATTAATTCCTTCATGTATAACTTATATTATTGCATGATAAGGCCATCAGTAGTTTAGTTGAAGGCACAGAAAACAAACCTGTTTCTTTAAATCCCTTGTAGTTGCCACTGTTCGCAAAACCGAATGAATACCGGTCCCTTGTGTGAATTAGTGCGCGTGAACTACGAAAATATCGGATCTCCACTTACGGTGAAAACCAACTTTAACCTCACCCTTCCACTTCACATTTCCCTCGAATTCGTTTCTAATGACTTTCGAGGCACAGGACCACTCTTTACGCTCGGTGATCCTGTAAGTCTGCACATTTCCATAATCCGTCCACTGTACACGTCTAGAAATAATGTGAGCGCTTGTCGTAAACCACCGTTTCAAATCTGGATCACTCACTGTCAATTTTGTGGTAATTTATCTGTCTATAGTCTCGCAGTTTTAGCTCAACGTCAACCAACACTGCGATTCGTTAAAGTGTGAGCAGATTCACAAAAGTATCTAAAGATGGCGAAATTAATAGAAGCTAAGAATCCAGTAGGAAGCGTGCATATTCCACCGCGGACTCCTCAGACATTCAATGATGCTGGGTTGTAGCTTAAAAGAGGGTTGGGTGAGGCATAAACGCAACAGGCAGTCCGAAAACTCACATTTTCTGCCAAAACAAACCCAGGTCCACCCAAAGTTGGCATTTCTAATCCTGTCCAGCCACAGAAATGAGGCAGTGAATTGAAGTTTCTATTCGTGTTTCCTTGGCTACTTTCTCCTAAACATTGAGATGAATTACAATTAATCGACGAAGATCTGTAGAATGAGTGCCAAGCTGGCGGTAAATCATCACACTTCAAACTTCTTTGATCTTACCATTGCTATGACTTTTGTGAGCACGGTTCCAGGTGTTTAACTCAACCTTGTTTGAGGGTCAAATTGTGTAAGGCCTTTGCACACCAGACTCACACATGTCCTAGATTTACGGCTGCACAATCGAGCTTGACCTGTGTGCAAGGTCTCAAGAGATAACCGTGATTCGCACACTCATGTCACCTCATTGTGTTGTTAAAAATAGATAAATTGTTTGTAAACTAACAATTTCATTTCCGATAATGGAAAAGTAACGTATTTTCTGATTTAATGATTCAGACCAAAGGCATTGTCATCGAGCTAGCACTGGATTACGGACGACCAGTGCTAGCGTTAAATTCCGAACGGAAGGTGTCAAATCTTGGTTCTCTTCATAACAACCAATGGCACCGTCTAGACCTCTTCTTCAACAGGACTGTAAGTCTTTTTTAATGCTATGAGAACATTTACGAAGGCTGAAAAACCCTAATTTATTGGTTTTCATTTTCAGACATTCATTTAGCCAGTTTATAGAAATGAAATTTTTGAGTATGTCATCCGTCGAAATCACTAATGGGCTCTACAATGATTTCTAAAAGAATTCACTCCAATAATTATGATTCACTAAACAAGGAAATAATTTTTCTAAAAAAAAGCTTAGCAAAAATGCTTGGACTTACAAATGTTTTGTGAACTAAGCAGTGGAATCTGGACGATATTCGGCTTTGATTAAAAAAAAGGAGCAACGACCTGATGAGTACATGCGTGTTAAAAGTCGTCTGCCTTCTTTCTACAATTACGCATACTTGTATCATCCACAACCCAGTAAAGCTATGGACTTGTCATCTCCATGCCTTACCTTTTAACCACTTTAGGTGTCACATGTACCAGAGGTTTGTGTTTGCAATGACCCGATATTTAAAAATTTTGATCAAGTTGCAATGTCATCATTCTAACCGAAACTTTCTTAATCACATCTCAAAACGGATTTCTGGTTTTGAGAAAACTTAATTATAGCATAATTGCACTTCGATACCGACAAAATCTGCGTTTTTGAAGGAGTTAAGATCACGCCTCGGCCCGAATTAGTCCCAAAAATATATTCCGATCACGAATTTATTAGCCTTGACATCAAGAACGTATTTAACTTGCATGTTAACAAACTCTAGGTATACTTTTTTTAGATATTTGACTCCGATTCTTTTGCCGAGAGACACTTAGTAAACGCCATGTTCTCATGTTCATTCTAACAAAACTTACATAGTATCTGTTAAGTCTTGTGAAAATTTATCCAAACCATCAAGTCGCCTTTCAAAGAAGAGTTCTTCTGGCGCACCGTGCGAATTTTGTTCAAGTAGCCATGGGAACTGTTGTCGGTGTAAAACAATAAAATTCGTTTCACCTTGTCAAAGGTGAAAACAGCATTTAGTGTCGTTGCTCGTCAGCGGTTTAAACGCCTGACGAATTTGTCAAATGATTTTTTTTGAAGGTGAAATAAAAAATAAGGAAATTTAGAATATTTAAATCTGCTTGAGTGCTGGGTTCCGCTTCAAAATTAGTAGCTTAAATTGTCCAAATTTCGGTCGAAGAATTATCGGTCTGTGTTGTAGTATTTTATTCACGAACATTAATAACAAGGGTTTTTCTTTCTAGTTTAAGTGTAAATTTACATAATTCAGTGTCCAACGAAGCTTCCGTATTTGCAATTATAATTTGCGTCTGTCAAAATTCTGCTGTACATTACCAAATACCGCTAAAAACAGGACACTTGGCTAATCGTTTGGTCAGAACGTGCCTTCAAGCACCAGAAAGCCGCCGCACTAAATGAGAAATGTAATATCCTGATCAACGGCAAAACCAGCTGAATTGATGCAGTCGTTATTGGATTTGGTTAAAATACAGTGCTTGCAGTCAACTTTGCACTGTGAGGAAGGGCATACGGGGAACAAATTTACATTAACACCAGCACTCAGGAAACCTAAATTTACTGTCTATGAATCAGGCAAATGTTTACACCAAAAAAATAAGAAATATTGCTAGGTGAGGTTCCTATGGCGTCCTAAATCATCCAGCCATATGCCCTTAATAACTTTGCCGCTAACCAAATTCTTGAGATGCAAGTCATAAATGGTAACACGTCTAGATGTCAAATAAGATGCTTCAGTCGTTGACAAACTTTAGACGTCGGATTCTCAAATCTGAGAGAATGTGAATGGCCTGGAGGCGTACTGTACCTTGTGTGAATATTAAAGGTAAAGCTCGTCACCCAATCTGAGCGCTTTGGCAGGATCAAGAATAATTTCCTTTTATGTCAGTCAATCGAAATCCGGTTCTTTCCTAGATGGCCATTCGGCAGTGGACATAAATTCATCAAAAATGGTCTACATTTTGTCATTTCAGCCCAACGGTGTGGACGCTGTGGTGGTTGTTGATCGGTGCATTCACAAGAGGAGGTGCAGCCAGAGAGTCGCCTTCACTGGCCTGACAAGTGCAATCACTGTTTTGGGACCTCTTAAACTCGGCAGCACATCTTTTACCGTTCATCGCTTAAAGGAACTTTGCTTGGAGAACATTGTTGTGAATTCTGAGGTAAGAAAGTAACTCCTGCCAAACCGTGTCTTGTCCTAATCGCTATATCTCATTTTGCGTTCTTCACTTGCCACTTAAATTAAACTAGATGTGACAGAATCTTCTTGACTTGATGATCAGAGAAAAAGCGGTGTGATTACTTATCAATTGTACTAAAAATTACTTTATTTGAATCTTTTATATTTTTGCCCTTTTCCAAATGCTGACACTGGAACTAGAGTGACCCCTTCCGCTACCCATCGAAGTATTTATCAGCAAATGACTCATGTAAAGAATATGCATTGCATGTAAAAAAACATTTGACATGTGATGATATGAAAATTACCTTGACGAAATCATGAAAACACAACATCGATTTAACGACAATGATGATTACTAAATCGTGGTCACGAATCATCTTGGAAACCGCTTATTTCATGTGGGTTACCTGACTAAGCAGTCAGCATTTCCTGAAGTGATATTGTAGGTGGATATTAGATAAATAGCAAAGCGCTCTGCCAACTCCCGATTAGTGTCGTCAGCTCATCAAACACTACCAAGTTATTTACTCGTGTTGAAAGGTTGAGTCACTAACACCACTACCAAACCGTGACACATACGATTGCACACATTATCCTTTTAAGTTGGTGGATCTCTGGGAGGGGACAGAGTCGTCACCCCTGGCTCGGGGGTGTCCGAAGTGTGAGGAGGCGTGCTTCATCGGCGAAGGCACCGACGGTGCGGGGCGGTGTGGCGCCGAAGGCGTCTGTCGGAATCCCATCGTCGCTGCCACTGACCAATACGCATGCACCTGCAGACCAGGATTTCAACAGCCCATTGAGGAAGCCTTTTTCGCCGACTACACCATCACACCCAGCGCCCCTTGCACTCAGCGTAAGCTTTTTGCACGATATTATCTTAAAAAAGTTTTAATTATTTAATTTAGATGATGGAATAATGTAGAAACAAGCTTAACACAGCGATTTTTATTCACTTTTATAAGAAAATTTTACCAGCAGCTGGCTAAAATCCCACTTTTTGAAGATGCATGGGTCAGTGCGGTGTTAAACACAACCAACCACTTTCATTGTGTCTAAGTTTCTAAAACTCTTTACAGCCAGCACTTGAACGAGAAACAGATCCCGATGTCACCTTCAATGTGGATTTGTGTGATTAATTGGGCATTGGGTCAATTGTCAAAGCTAGAGTGCTATCGAACTCACAAGACGTCTAGTAAATGGTGGTACAATGATGACACGTCGACCCTACCTATTCGGATTCAGCGTACTAGCATATTTTGTAAATGGGAAGTGAAAGCTCAAAGTTAATAAATGCAAGTTTACGTAAGACTTTGGACATAACGTTTATCATCCAACCTGATAGAAGTTCGCTAAATGGCTTGTAAGGGATGTTTAGGAATTTCCGTTGGAACAGCTAACGTTAAGGTGCTGACCACAGAAACACTATGACCCTACAATAGTATCAGTGGCAGCTAGTTGGACGAAGTCGTGCAAATTTTTTATAGCTGCAACAGAATGGCAGGTGAATGGCCCAGTATCCGTCGGTGCTTTCGATTTCGATGGCATTACGCTCCAGTTGAGTATACGAACCCGCCAGACAGAAGCCCACGTCCTTCGATCTGACGATGGCCTAATCCGTCTGGACGTGAGTTGCCTGTTTTTTAAGTGGCTGCCACAGTAATGAGGAAGCGGGTAATAAATCACTGCCTTGTACCCAATTCCTGTTCATTTTGATTAGGTCTTTTTGTAAATCACCAGGAGTTTGCTTCCACAACAGTGCGATGAAATATTTTTTTTGTTTGAGGTATCAACATAAACCAGATATGGAGTTGTAAAGGACCTCTAAATGGTCGTTTAACGGATCTTGTTTTCTAGATCGAGCAGGGTCATCTGATTTTTCATGCGGATGCGGTGTCCCTCACACTTCCCGCAGTTTTCGTGTCCGATGGTTTGTGGCACGCAATTCAACTGACGATTACACCATTGTGAGTCTCCAAGTCGTTTTTGGAAGGTTAATACATATCGTGCTCAGTTCACATTTGAATGTATTTTGGTTTCAATAAATGAGTCTGTACCCAGGAGATGAGTAGCCATAAATGAATTTCGCCAGACCTCGGGGTTAACCACGCATTAATAAGCCGTTCAAGTTCATTTTTTGAAAAAAAATTTCCAGAACACAAAAATGCCTCTCGCTTCCATGATATAAACAAAAAAAATAAGTCTACGTAATAGAAATATCGGAATTCGCAATTGGAAAGGTTCTTCAAATTCAAGTATGTCATTTTTAATTTTGCTACGAAAGTCTTACGCAACACTTAATGAAATTGAGCCTCATAATTTGTGTCTAGGTCATGGTGTTTGCCTAAGCTTCCTTATCCGCTTCGGTTGTAGGATTCAAGGAAGCCAATCCAGAATGATAGAACTGTCAGTTGATGGATTGTGGAATACATTCTACAACGCAACTTTGGTTACAGCACAAGTTAACAACATTTCAAATGCCAAACATTTTCTGCTTTTGGAAGCCGATTCCAGTAAGTCAAGTATTTGATTTATCCAGGCAAACTGTATTAATTTCAAATGTGGAGTTATGGCTGAAATTAATTATGCATTTGAATGCCCACGGTTTCCCCATGTTGCCCCTCCCTCAGCTTCATTCTGAACATCTGCGAACGCACAACAGGACAATCAGTTTGTGGTCTGCTGGTTCCTTAGTCCTGCAGTCACTTTCCCCGAATGCAAAATGACTTAACACTGAATTAATTTGACCAAGGGCCACCTGGCATCAAACCCAGGGTATCGGGGTTCCTTGCTCTCGACCTCGTTTGCATTCGTTCGCTTCTCTCTAGCCGATATCTCGGCGTTCATCCCCTGTAAATACCGCCAGCATAAGCAATTAAGGATATGCGCGCTGGAATCGAAGAACAGCAAAAGCAATCCGTAACCGTGGATTTTAGCAGTTGTTGTCCAAAAAAGGGATATTACGATATTATGCAGAGTAAACAGTAAATGTCGACCAATAAATCGGTGCAAGAAATACAGTCTCCTAGCACTATTGGAGACTTTGATTAGTGTTCCAACCGAACCAGTATATTATAGTAAAAAAAGGGTCGTGTCGAAAGAATATGACAAATTTTAAACCCATTACTTCATTCTCGGAATAATTTTTTCTGCAAATGTGGTTTATTTGTCAGCCTCTAACACTATAAACAAAGCCTTGATTCAAAAACGCCCCACAACATTTACTGGCTTAGCACTTTTAAGCAAATTCATTTTCCAAATCATGCTGATAGAAGCGTGCTTGACTTTACAAATCTAGCAAGCCTTAAACACTGTAACCATAGTAGTGTCGGCTATAGTTGCCCTAGGGCAAATGGAAGGCCCCATTAAAAGGTTCCAAAGAAGGCAGGCATTGAAAAGCCAATCTATGGTAATTCTCTCAACAAATTCAACTACTTGCACCGCTTCACATAGGGCTAAAGATAACTCCTGGTGTTAGCTGTCATGTCCTCAAATCGGCGATTAGTGTAAAAAACACAAATGCATGAGTTGTCAACGCTCGAAAGCTCACCAGTATAGCAACTTCGACCTCAGGCACATTGGTTGCGTTAATTCGTCATTCAGTCAGAATAATTGGACATGATGATTTTATTACTACCATTGAGGCGGTGATTTTACGTTACCCACCCACCCATTCGAACATCCCCATTGGTCAGGTATCATTCGTCTGCGTAAAAATGTATCCCTCACATGCTTATCTGCACCTTTTTGATCAATTTTGCCGCAGGATGTGGCTTTTTAAAGCCTGTCAGAATAATTCTTTGTCTTCATTTAGAGTGAGTGAGTCTATGCTTAAATCACTGCATGAGTCGTATTTAATCATTCCGATTGCTTTCAAAACCATTGTCAGTGTTTGTTGTCTTCATCTTTTTAATGGAAATTCTCTACGATTACTGGTAGAGATCCGGTGGCCCACTTCACTGTCTTGTCATGCCGAGGTGAGCAAACTTCTCCAATTTACATAATTACATAAATGGGCAAACCAGCTTCATAAATCATTTCAAATTAAATATGTTGGATCATGCTAAACATTTTCCATCACAAGACCATCACTTCAGTTCATCATAAGGATGGGAATAAGCTACTTGAAGTCACGAGTGAATGCTCACAATCTCAAAATGCCTAAGATCATTAATATTTTAGCCTGCTTTTACTCCACTGAGCTGATGGTTCAGGGTTGAAGTTTGTTTGGCAAGCCACAGGTCTGGTTTAACCAGGCCGAATTAAACTTTATTGTTTTGGCAGAAGGAAACCTACTGCCAGGTTCTGTGTCAACTTGAATTGCAGGTTGTTTGTCCGACATACGAATGGAGCTTCGCGATGGTCGCAACAATATCTACCATGACTACCTCATCAACGAGCTTAACCAAAACCGCCATAGCACCTTGGTGAAGGGATGCCAGTCTGAGAACTACTGCGAATCCAAAAATCCCTGCGGATTAAATGAAGTGTGCATGCCCGAGTGGCGTGGCTACAAGTGTGTGTAAGTCTAATACGCAATTTAAGGAATTAGTAATGATGTATGTGGCGACCTCTTCCACTCATTTGCCCTGTCTCCACGTTGATTCTTAAATATTTCATGTTAATTAACGGGGATGCTGGAATTACAATAGAAACGCCGCTAATAGAAGTAATCGAGATTAGTTCTGTGAAAATGCAAAGTGATGTATTTCAAATTAGCACAACGAAATGTCTGGATAAATGAAAGAACGTGACCACAGTCACTAGATCAACAAAGTTGGTATATTGAACGGTACTGTCAAACTAGTTGGAGGCGGTAAATGGAACCACTGACCCTAGAACCTGGCCTTCAGAATGACACGACGATATCGCAAGATCGGTTTCATTTTAGAGCTTGCCTACTCCCAAACTTGCTATGTTGGCAAGGAAGCATTTGAAGCAGTTGGAGTTGTGTAGAAATTGTCAACTTTGTGAGTGCCAGTTTGTCAACAGACCAATTTCACCATCATGTGGTTGTGTTCAAATATTTTGCCGACCAGCTTTCAGGCCCGAAATTTTGAGTGGAACTTTCATCGTTGAAAAAAAGTAAACCACATAAACAGCTTTTAATATTTAGGTGCTTTTGCTGCGTGCAGCCTCCTTTGAACGGCTTTTGTATAATTCAATGTAAATGGTATTCTAGACATGATTTCGGTTTCCTGATAAGAAATTTGCGAAATTTCGTGGAGGAGGACTCGTGCATCAAGTTGTATTAAATGTGACACAGAAGCTTGCCTAAAATTCGATCTTTTAGCTCATCGTAATCGGTGGCGCGGAACCGTCGCTGCAGCGTTTGGAAATAGCTTCACATTTTTTTGTAAGATTTCTAGTCTGAACTGGTAAATTATTGTCCCTAACCAGAGTTAAACGACAGCCTATGGCATCCCAGTGTTAGTGACATTAATACACATTATTATTGCATCTATGGTACTTCAGTCAGTGTGTGGATCGTACTCAAATTATTATCAAGCTTGGGTTATGTTGATCCTTTATACGTGGTCTGCGAAGTGATAAGTCCTAATCAAACTCCACGTGTCGATGTTTTAAATTATTGTCGGGGATTTGTGTTACACCGTCAGCGATCGCGCATGAGTGAAGTTTGTTTACTAACCTGAAAATGTCAAATAATTATTGGTTGCTGTTATCAGACGACTGTCATCCGCACATAAAGACCCACTTGGCTAAGTAATAAACGGTCGTATCCGATGTTGCATCTCCTACCTCTGTTCTCGCACGTTTAAGGACTAATAAATAGGGAGTTGTGAGGTGGTGCTAAGCAAATCCACTACGGATACACGCAGATGTAGATATACAGGCTTTTCGAGTCTCCACTGGGCGACCAAATGCTAAAGATGTGTATTAGGAAAAGGAAACGATTCTTAGAGTACTCAGCAATTATAAAGTAAGCGCGAATTTTGTGCCATCCGTGAGCGGACTCTGTTATTTTCCTCCAAGATGCAAAACCGGTTTCTCCTACCGCGCGATCCCTCCATTCGGTGATCAGCAATGCGTCCTCTCGAGCTGCGAACCGAACCCCTGCCAACACGACGCCCAGTGCAGCGTTCTTAGCAACGGGACTGTTTCGTGGGGCAACGAGACCATCGGAGTCCTGTGTGAATGCACGGGTGGCTGGAGTGGCCTGTTCTGCGAGAACCCCATGCTTGTTCGCTCTGGCTTCCTCAACTGGTGGCTTCTTCCTCTCTTCTTTGTTCTCATCTTGATAAGTACGATTTTGCATATTCGACTTTGAAACATCCAAACGTGTTTTTGCGAACATGTTGTCGTGTCACAATTCTTAACAAAAGTAATAAATACTTAGTTCAAAAAAAACGTTTATCAAAGAAACTATCACGTTGATTTGTGGCCAGTTAATTAGGATTAGCCGCAAAATCCCTAATCAGGAAGATATACTGTAACTGTGGGATTCCTGATCAACCTTTTTATGCCGCTTACCATGGCTTTTGGAGATAAGTTGACGAAAATCAAACGTAAAAAAGAGCTTTGTGGTGGATGTCCGCATCCTTACGTTGCGTTTTAGGCACAGCTATTTAAGCAAATCCACACAAGAAGGCTTCGCAATATGACGAGGTGCGATACAGACATGTTGACAGCTAACGCATACCCTTGCAGACCAACAAAGACATTGCATGTTTGAGGACATCCGGCAATTGTTGGCAACAAACTCTTGGATGAAGTCGTAATCAAATTCTTTTCCGTCACGATTTGACTTCGGCAGTCCAGTTACCCACTACCAGTAGTCGATGACAGAACCGGGCTGCCTCAAAGCCTGGTCAAGTTCTTTATAAGGAAAAAACAGTAGGTATTTTACCTGGTGGCTTTTACCAATCTCTATGTTTGGCTTCAGTATTCTGGGTGGTATTTTGCGTCTGCTGGTGGCGACGGAGAAAACTGAAGAAAGGTGGACCAGCCTTCAAGAAGGGTTCACGATTCGTGGAACCCCTGGAGACAATATCCACGGATGGCGTCGCCAAAGCTGGTAACTTACTTATTGCCTCTAGCTGGCAGCAGGATTTTGAAAAAAAGCCTTACCCCTATTTTCTCGATCTAGGCGAAGAGGATTACCGGGGATCGCTCAACTTGAGCGTCCTAAAAGTCGCCGAAGAGCCACTAAGGCCTCATCACTTGACTGGTATGCTTCCCTTCCAATACCCTCACCTCGTTTATGGCTGTTGTTACGCTTTCGACCATGTTTTTCAAATGTTTCATATTTATGTGCCTAGCAACTTAAAGTACCCACCAAGCATGGAGGTTAATAGGCCAGAAGCAGTCATTTTTTCGAACCTCATCGTGTTGTGCATGTTGATGCGCCCAATTTTTCGTGTCCCTTTCCGCCACCCAAAACTCATACTGCCAAAAAATGCCGTGCTAAAATTTTACACTTATCTAGGCATAATTTTTAAGCCTCTCGTCAAAGAGCTAGCCAAAATTTCGTAGCTTGCATACTTATTAGTGATAATCCTGCTAACAGCCACTTTCTAAGTCAAGAACATGGAACAAGGAAATGGCTGCTAGCAGTAAACTTCAGTCAGAAGGTTTTAGCTTATTTTTCCCTCACTGCAGTTCGAAACGCATCCGTGGAGGAGACTCGAACCTCAGACTCAATGACAGAAGCGGAACGTTTCTTAGCCATGGACCAACCGTTGCAGTACGCCTTCGAAGGCTACGACTCCAGTCCTCCACCCACTTACTTTGCTCCCAACATTTACGACTTCTCCAGACACACTTAGAACCCCACTCTGAGTGGCCTCTTTGTATAAAGTGATTGAGACTAATGTACTCATGGTTTTATAACTCAATAAAAATGTGCATATTTTTACCACTGACCAGCTATCTCAGAATTAATGTTCTCAACTTTTAGGCATCATTAAGATCACAAGGCCTTTTTTATCACAAGTTAAATCTAAGGTTGACATTTGTGTTTTAATTAAGTCGCAGCGCCTAGGGATTAGAACGCGCTTTAAATGTGAAATATGTCACCAATTGTTAGTGTGGACCACAACATATCTTAAAAGAATTCTAGGGAAACTTTAAGGCGTGTATTCAGGTAATTGGTATGGGTGCCGAATAAAATTGGGTGTGCCACACAAAGTGCACGTATCTGGGACGATGTCGGAGTTTGGATATTACAAGAAAACACCTAATTAGATGACCCGATTTTATTGAGTTGCCCGTGCCCAGAGGAGATATGACACATGAGCTTAATTAACCAATGGAATTTCAGTGAAGTATTAAGTACACAATCACCTAGATGTCAGGGTGGATGGAATGGGTGACAGCAGAGGTATTAACACGACACTTCCTGTAAAATTAACTAATTTTTAATTAGAGTAGGACGAGTATTTATTGCACTAAATTATCTATAAACGCTAAAGGAATCTCCTTTAGTGTTTGTCGTCAGACCGCTTGCACGCCACCCTTGGTATTGATGTACAAGGGGAGTTGCAATTCTTCAATCTGTAGGCAATTTTAGGCATACCTACGATATTCAATGAGAAAATCTATCAGGAATAAAGTAAAGGATTTGGTTTTTTAAAAAAATACATTCCTAATAAAGCGTGAAAGGGATTACTTATGGCCAAGTCTTTAATAACTTCTCATTCGGTAATTTCTCATGGTTTTATTTAAATAAGACAGTTGCTTGACCAATCGTGTTTTGCTGTAAATGCTATGTATATAAAGCGGATGATGTAAAAACGGAAGACAAAAGTGCTTTCAGTTACCGATGATCACACAGCATCCAAGTGATTTTTGCTTCTATGCGGACAATTTTTGGAATGCTTTGCCCATGAAATTCACAACTATGTAGCAATCTTCGGACATTGCATTTTGGAATTTTCGCTTAACATAATTACAGTTTTGTAAGTTTGTCTTTACGTTGCTCCTTATCTTTACCTTATCGAAAAATCTGTCAGCAAAACGATCAATCTTGGATTCGTATTTCTGAAACGCCGCATTGTTCATTTTCTCTAAATGACCAATTGCACTTTAGCTACCAGACATTTTGACCTACATAGAGTTTTCGTGCAACAAGGGATGGCAGCATGAACACTTAAAAATTCGACATTGAGTTCTCGTGTTTAAGCTGTGGCCTCAGTGAAATACCCCCTACCTAAGGCACTGAGATATTTCCAGATGGCTTAGGTGTGTTCAGAGACATTTATAAGTAAAAATTCATGCATTCTTGTTTTAGTTAAAAAAGCACTATATTCTCCAAATTTGATCCGAATGTGAGTTTGAATGTTAGCGAAAAATAATGTGTAATCTTATCAAAGTCACAAAATCGTTTTACAGAAATGAGCAATGTGGAAACGTCCGCATCTGATTTCTCCCCTCACTCAAAGGCTCGATTTGTTCTTTTCCTTCGGTTCCTTCGTTTCTAAACGTTTATCGACACGCTTTGGTGCCTAGAAAATATGGAAAAATCTATTCATTCAACAAATCTACTGCGTAAACACTTTATGGAGCTAACGTAACAAATAGATAATATAGTTTTTTAGTCCTATGGTGCCCATAGTCATAAATAACACCTTTCGTATTTACCCATCCTTTTTTAGTTTTTTAACCTTATTGAGTCTTACGAACTCTAACTGAAGGTATGACAGTACTGCTATAGGCCTGCATTTCGCAAGGCTAATTTTATCAGGTGTCAGCTAGCTATCACCTGCAAAACGACCACCTTTTTCGCAGGAGCAGGAGCCCGGGCACGGAGGAGGGCGCGTCGAGCCCTCTCCTCCTGTTTGGCGCGCTCTGCCTCGCGCTGCTCCTGGCGCAGTTTCTCCCGTCGGGCTGCGCGAACCTCTCGTCGCAGGGCCTCCACACGCTCCTCCGAGGCGCCCGAAGAAGCCACCGACGTCAGCAGGAAGGCGACGTGGGCATCAATGCGCGCGAACTGCTCCAATGCACTAAGTGGGGTAGATACGCATGACTTATGCTCAACATCACCATCAGACCTCCTGGCCAATGGATTTGCACTGGGATTGAGGATTTTGCAGCATTTGTAGTATATAAACGAGGTCTTACAATTCAGGCAATAGGACAAATACACAGTCCTATTACGACAAAGCAGCAGAACAGTCTCTGTAGTTCAGTAACTACCGTCTCATTTAAATCCAGTTGACGGGTCTCAATTACATGTAAAGGAATCCTTGCTTTATTTTAGTAGTTCCAGAAGCAAAACTAACTTCAACTTTCAACTTACTAGTATCATGATGACATCGTGAATAAACAATTAAGAACTAATGATTGTAACACAATTAAAAACTAAATTTTCAATTTCCTGGCCATATACCAAGAATTCTTAATTACATCAGTCACTGGGGCCTGAAGACATATAAAACAATATTAAAGCATATTTCTCGAGTTAGACAACATAATCGTTACATGGTTCAGGCATAGCAACAAAGCTGACTCGTCTTGTTTAAACCAGAACACTTAACATTTAAACTTATGGACATTTGAATGTGTTTTATTTGGGGCGACTATGCATTCTAAAGACTTCAGTTTTGAATAGGATTGTCGGGTTACCATAAATATGACACTATGGCTAATTATCTCTCATCCTTGCTCTAGTCATTTCAGTACCAACTAAGGTTCAGGTGACCGTACACGAATGCATTGGTAAACGTTAGTCGGCTATACCGTAAAGGTGCCTCTTCGTTTTCACTGATTGGGTACAATTTTTGGAGTCCACAGGTATTATATACGTCAGCTATCTGTTCACATAGTTCTGCAAATTGCTTGTCCTGCTTCGCCTCACCTTCGTCTGGCTCAGGCATCCTAAAAATGGCAAATTGAGAGCTTTATTTAGCCGCTTTTCAGGTGGCAGTGTCGACGCACTCGATTGTCTGTAATTTTCAAATCAAAACAGATTAAACTAAGGAAAAAGTAACTGGTTCTGTTGCAGGAGCAACCAAAATCTAAGTATACAACCATCCTGTGATCTACCCCAATAAAGCGAAATCCGGGGTGAAATCAAAGAATACTGGATGCATGAAATTTGGAATTGGCTTGCAAAGGATTATTTACCCGTCTTGACTTAAGTCATTGTTCCATTGGGAAATAATCTCTTCAAGTTGCTTCATCCTTGTCTTCACATCTTCAGTCTCCTTCAAGCTAAAAGCAGCAAAAATTGTGAGTTAAATTCGGAGTAGCATGAATTTAAATCTAAGGCATAAAAAGAGAACCTCTGTTTGTTAAGTAGTTCCTCTCCTTTCCTTAGCGATTCGATTGTATCCTCGGCATCTTGACAGTTTTGAATAAGCGAAAGGTTGGCGACTTCCAAATCCTTCAAAACAGTGATAAGTTCGTGGGGTTCCTTGAAGTAGTTATCCAAGCCCTGAGGGTAGAACGAGGTCATGTTTAAACGAGTTGGCAGCCAAAATCACTGATGCGGCTAATACATTTACTTAAATTCACAGATAAAACCACATATTGTAGTGAATAAATCTAGAAGTAAGTGTGAACTCTTGAGTGATAATTAATCAAAGGCAATCATGGCGTTTCCAGCAGACTGCACCGTCCAATTAAACCTTGAATAAAAGACCCAAAGTACATGAATCACTTACAAGCAGGCACTAGTAAGTGGTTGGTGTGAATCGAGAAGCAATTTCAACTGGGCTGCTTACTTACGATTTGTTCATCCGATGAAATTTCATTCTCTTGAGGTTCAGGAGGTATGGGCGATGTTCTATAACGGCATTAAAAATGAAAGTGTAAGGTTACTGGTTAGCCCAGGATGTGGACAAAAAGGCCCCTCGTGGTCTGAAGTGCCCCCTATTTGCACAACTGTCAAGTTGAAAATAAAATTTGCTACTCAAACGCAAGCGGGAGCTTGAGGAGCGTGGAGACGTTCCAGTTAGAGTGACCCCATAGCCTATCCAATCCTTACCTCGTTTACTTCCTCGGGCAGCTTCGCCGATCACACTAACTTGAATTAAGCCCCAACCCCGTTGACATAAACACACATTCATTTGCACACTATTCGTGCATACCTAAACAATTGTGGTGGTTTCATCGTCTCAATAAGACATTATGTTTCAGTGTGGTGACGAGTTGTGCTGTCTCTTCCAGGGTGTCTTGTGGAAGCGTTACTAGGGTGGACCAAGGCCTTTAGCGTACCATTTTGATTAGAAAAGCCATGTATCAAGTTGTTAGCAACATTTTTTAAATGAAAAAAAGACGATAAAGTAAATAGAGCAAACCACATATGCTGACACAAAACCGTGGCAAACGGCATTTACAAGAAGTGCATGAGTGCGACTTGGTGAAGCTGCACGGCGAGTGGCAGGCTCATTTACCTCGCAGTCGATTTCACCTGCAGTCGCCGTTGGAACTTGATGACCGCTTTCAAAACAGTGCCCAAGACATCGGCTTGTCTAGACGATTGATTTAAACGGCATTCAACTTACATTTTACCAAGGCATATTGGGACAGGAAATTTATTTGCAATTACTAAACTGCTATGTTGAAGTCGCTTTGAAGCAGAGGACATTCTTTTAAAAACAGTCTAGGGCTTGTTGTGGGCCCCAGCATGTGGTTTTGAACCACTTTGGGGCCACTGAGTTGGATCTGGCCCGATTACGCTACCCTGCTGCCGGCGATGATAAAGAAAACCGGAGAGGACGTGGACACAACTGTTTACTCCAGAACTCAACCACGTTGGTGTCGTATTATCGTTGGTGGCGTTTGCGTCTGGGCATTTATACCTTAGATGTGTGAGTTACAGATGTGATAACATCAAGATCTAGGAGTGAGAATAACCCAGGATACTCATTAGGGCTAATAAGGGGAGAGTAGAGGATCCGCACGCCTGTCGACGTGCTGCGTAAGAGAGACCATGTGTCGGAGGCTGAAGTGACCGGATTAAAGACTCTGAATCAACGCGATTCACAACAGGTTAAAGAGAACAGTGCATGTTTACTCTTTCGTTTTATAAATGGTTGTGAACTCAACTTGTTCATTAAGCCACTAATCCCTTTTGAAGTAGCCTTATTGAGCTGATTTAATAAAAGGATCTTTCCAACACACTAATGACCTACCTTGACTGAGTGTTTTCGTCCACTGTCTCATAAGACTTCTTAAAAATTTTTTGCAAATCGCTAAAATAAGTGCAAAAACATATAAATAGACTAATGCATTGCCATAGTTAGTACGTCCTTTACACAAGATGACTGTTTACATCACAGATATGCTTTTAAACAGATTAGAAGCAGCCTACTTTTCGGTACCGACAATGTGCTATGTTAAATTATGTGGGTAAATTAATAGAGACTTTAAAACTCATACGATTTCTTTTAAAAGTAAAAATATGAGGTGCTAGGACGCTTTTCTAGTCTCAAGTTGCTTCAGTTTATCCACTGTCGGGAAAACATAGAGTATGGGATTTAATTTGGTCTTCACCATACAAGTTTCGCAACATGCGCACTGACATAGTCTTAAATGGTGAGATTTTTTGCTCACAATGCAACCAAGGTAAGAAGATTGCGATGCTTACTGGGTGTTCATCTCAACAGAGAACAACAGGGGTAAACACTTTAAGTTACAAACTTGTGAAATTAGACTAAAATTGTACAACCGTATTACTTGGCTTACATTTCACCATCTTCAACGAAAAAATATTATATTTTGAGACTATATTATGTCTGGTCAAACATCTCCCATAAAATCATAACAAAGGATGTAAATTTACAACTGAGATGTGTGTGCGTGCGTTTAATGCATGTGAAGTATTACCTCTTCTCAGACGTTGCCATCGTGATTCCTTCCACATCTTTTGCAAATGACTGCTCAATTTGAACTTGTTCTATAAAAAGGCCGTTTTTTAAGGTCTGGTATATGTAAGAAAGTACAGTGATACTTGTTCTAAATTTAAAATTGGTTGCTTTTCAATTAATGCAGTCGATTCTAAACGTCGCCAATTACACACCAGCAGTCTCTAAAAGGACTAATATACACCACGGACATAAATAATTGTTAAGAAAAATTGCAAATCTGCAAAGATTCATCTTATTGCAAATTTACACACACTTTTCCGTTTATTCAAATTCTGTTAAATTAAATATTTATACAAATTTTCAACTACCTATTTTCTTTTGAAATCAATTAAAAGAGGCAGCGATTCGTTTGACGTTATTTTTTTTTCAAAGCTCCTAATCAATTTTACGCTGTGTTGTTAAAGCGAATCTGCAAATCGCAAATTCGGAAGTGTTTGTATCGCCTAATATGGTAATTACAAAGAAGTTAACAGAAAGTAAAACATTCCTGTAGGTCAATGCCTTGATTATTATGAAACAAAGATTGATTTTATTCCAAATTCAAAACAAAAATAATTTCTGCTTCCTAATATTTTCGCGAAAAAATTTAAAATATGTCTAATTGTATGCTTAGTTTGTTTCAAAAATAATTTCGCAACTTTGAATGGAGCAGGAAACGTTTTTTTTCAAAATCACACATTATTAACTGAGTTCAATAAATTAGTCAATGATAATTAAAATTTATTATATCCAGATCGGCTTGGCATAGTGTGCTCCCGTGTTAATCGCTGGTGGATACCATTTTTACCTTCACAGAGAGTTAGACCTTATTCACATTGATAAAACTATTAAGGGTTGTTAAACCTTGTTTATTAGTATCCAGAAAAAAGTGCTACCAACTTTGGTGGTTTTCTTTATCCGCCATGTTTTCCTTTTGTTTAACTTTCATTTGGTTCAGTCTCTCGGAGCGCTGAGGCTCGGGTACCAGAGATTCCAAGAAACGCTGGTAGCTTTGGTAATCGTGCAGTCGTATCTTGTTTCTACTAATCTCAGCTTGAACTTTTAGTAGCTGGGATTTAAGACATTTTAGTTCCTCCTCTTTGGCAATCCGCTTCTTTACTTGTTCTTCAGCCCTTTGTAAAGAAGATTAATAAGTAACGTTTTATAAATGACTTCGAACTCAAAGGACCGAAACATTTGAATGGCCACTGTAATTTACCTTAAAATTAATTTGAACCAGTAAATAAAAGACTTTTTAAAGACTCATCTACTGGTATATATAAGTCAGTAAAATTTAATGCCAATTTCGCCTTTGTTGTATTCACAATCTAGTTTGATTGTTACTTAAGTCTGTCAACTTATCCCCAATCGTGTGTATAAATTCACAGGTAGCACTATAGAAGTATGGAATGTGGCTCAGACTAATAAAGTTGCACATAACTACTTCAATTTGAGTTCAAAATGTAGAATCGCTTTGAGTAAGTCATGTGTATCCCAGGTATCATTGCTTTCTAGGTTAGCGAAATTGGGTTTAGCTAAGTTAGACTGGTGTCTGTACCTCCCGTAATCGACCAAAACGTAGGTAATTTTTGGTAAAACGTGCTAAAAACAAAGTCCTACTAACAAAGATAGCAATTTTTAAAACGATGGAATTTATTATACAGCACGTTACTTCACAATAGCTTCAATAGCTGCTCTGTCGTTTTCTTTTAGTTTTTCTTGAATATCGGCAGATTCAAGCTCAAAATTTCTCATTTTTGACTGCAGCCTTTGCCTTTCCTGCGTTACAATTCGTCGAAAGTTCAGGATTTCTTCTTCCTTCACATTGGTGTAATAATTTGAAAGAACCTCCTTTCGGCGTGCAGACAAGTATTCACTGACACACAGTTGTGAACACGGTTTATCTTAAAGACAAAAAAATGTTATAACACCGTGATGCGATTCTGGGATTAAGCATAATTTTAAATGTCTGGACAGTAGTTATTCTTGAATTAGTTTCAGGATACGTTACTAGGTACTCTGTGCATAGTGCAGTGGCTCTAAATACAGTACTTCAGGTTCAATGTCTTTTTCCGTAAATTGTTGCCGTTGTGGGCCCTAGCATGTGGTCTTGAACCACACCGGGGCCACTGAATTAACCTTCCTCCAATTACGCTTCCCTGATATTCGTGATTAAGAATAAGACCAAGGAGGACGTGGATACAACCTTTTGCTTCAGAGCTCAACCACTTTATTGACGTTGTGTCATAGGGGTGTTTGCGCTTGGGTATTTATACCTCAGATGCGTGAGTCATAGATGCGCTAACATCGAGACCTAGGTGTTTTGATAATACCGGACTGTGCATAAACACGATTCGCAACAAAACTAATGGGTTGGTTTACACAACAATCAGCTAAAGACTGGAATAAAAATTTGAATTAATGTACTATAATACAAAAATTGTGTGCTTAGTTAAAAAATATTTAAAAACGGTATTTGAACCGGGCGTTTAAATAATTAATTCCACTGAAAAAATAAGCGATTGCGTAGAATAAACCTTGCCCATTGCAATCAATTTAGTAATTTTTTTACCCAAACCAAAAAGCGAAATCAAAAACCTTGAAGCCGGTACTGTTTTTGGTAACAAATAATGTTAAAAGGAGGAAAAATCGATACAAAAATAACAGGTTTCAGAGCTATGTCATTTTGAGCTATATCGCTAGCAATGTTTAGGTTAATCAAACTGCACTATTAACTGCATCCGCTCTGTATAACATTTTTTCAACTTCAATAAACATTAATACATGATCCAGTTATCGTAGTACCTGTATCCGAGGTTTTCATGACCATGAGCTAAATTTTGTACAAGTGCGTTGTTATAGCCATAGAAACCAGAACAATAAAACTACTACTATCAAACACTAAAACAGTTAGTAAACAAGCTAGAACATTTGTGGCGTAAAGACACACAATAAGGTTTTTCGGTCATTATAACAACACGGGAAACAAATTTATCAACTATTGAACTAAATTAGATCCATGCATATTTAAAAAGCTTCACCTTTCCTGCATAAGTAAAAGTTTATTACATGCTGCCCACAAAGTTACATGCATGTTGCCTGCATACGTGTTTGAATTACTCAAATTAATAGAGGTTTTGTTAGTCAAATCATGAGTTTAAAATCCAATCACAGCTATAAGTTAAGTAAACTAAAGATACAGCTATATTTAGGTAAATGTGCTAGTAGAGTGTTTCTTCGAAATCATCTTTCCAAAAATTTTAACCCATGACAAAAACAGCGCAAATTCCTATTCGGTTATATCTTCTGCAATATAATGCAATTTTTTTGATTACTATATTTTCAAAATAACTTCTACAAATTCAATTGTTAAATTGTTTTTACCTACACGTGTAAAAGTTAAGTCTTACAACGCGATAATATTAGGAAGGTGGACACTTATATTTTTAATGTTATGTAAAACCAAACCACCCAAGTGCATTTGATACCAACTACAAATAAGATATCTAAAAACTTTACTGCCATGGATTATTCTGTAAGCAAGGTTTACTCACGCACGATCGTTTACAGCAAAATAGGGAACTAAAGTTTCCATGTGATCACTTAAGATCTGTAAGAATTGCTTAATACTCCTTTTGAAAAATTTGGTTCCAAATTTTTAACAAAAGTACAACAACCTGAAGAAATTAAAAATTTTGCCTGTGACACCTAACATTTTATTCTACATTTATCAATCGTTTATTTGCTACATTTTGCTGACGGTCATTTGCAAGCTTAAATAAGAACAGGCGGCGCTGCAAAAGAACGCTGATCTATCTTCACATACGATTTTGTACAAAAATATGTTTACGAATTTAATATATATCTTTAGTGTTTGCCAGTTCAAATGTCTTTTAAGCAAAAATTTAAGATATTTTAAACTTCAACTGCCTGCTTCATGGAGTAGAACTCATGTGTCAAATGTGCTCTTAACCGCTAATAGTTAAATTCAGTACCGGTATTAATTCGCATCGGTATCCTTTACAGTCTCAGTGTGAAACATTGATTTTATGTATTACGTTTCTAATTAATGATAATTAATATACAACTTTGGTGGAATAACGTTATAATAAAATTAGAATTTTGGAATTTCACGAAGAATTTTGCTGTTCACTGATACAAAAAGACCTGAGTCACCAAATTAATAAAATTATTTCAAGTCAACAGATACAGGTTACATCCAAAGTTTCTAATTTAAAATTTTTTTGTGTTGCAACTCTTACAAACGTTAGCCTTGCTTTATGTATGCCATTAAAAATGTTTTGCTGGCGAAAGTTATCTTTAGAAAAAAAACATACTAATAAATATTGGTTTTTGACTGAGAGGAACTTCTTATTTTGACTGCAATGATTCATATAAATTTATATTGATAGCTTGTGTAAAGCGTGAGATAACACCTTGGCATCTTTTACCTAAACAATAAAGCTGTTTTTCTTTTAATTTAATGTATTTCTTCTTGCTATTAGTTCGCTGTTGCTTATCTATGTATTTTTAGTTTCGCGAATTTACCACGATTAAATGCAGGTCAGAACGCTTGGCCATAGATTCCTGTTTTCCAAAATAAAAATCAGGCCCCAATAAACAGTGTAAACGAAGAATACTTTTCACTGAACGTGCATATTTTAAACTGAGGGGCCTGATATTTAATAGTCAACGTTATAGCTTGTTCCTCAGAGCTTTAATATTAATAACGCAAATATTGCATCGGTTTTTATGGTAACATGCTAAGTACGAAAATTTAGCAATTTTTTTAATTTAAACGTATTCACAACTTCAGTTACAATCTACCAGTTTAAATTCACAAACTAAATAAAATCTGATGTGAAGTAATCGGTAAGAAGAAATGTGGATTGCCAAGTGCCTTTTATTTGCTCACCGTCCAGAAAGACAGTTTGTTAGTATAGTTAATCAATACACAGGGTTTCACATTTAATTAAATTAATTCCTTAGGCTATAATATCTAACGCCGAAATTTAGTGGAGCGTTCACAACAGCAATTGCATTTGCATAAGTCAAAAATGCAATATCAGGCATATTTAAGCGGAAACCTTTTCTATGTACTGATCAGAAAAAATAGGCAATACTATATAGAGTAGGCAACGCATAGCATGCTGCAAAATTCTGTTGCCTAAATTTATCGTAACTTCTACGAACGGTTCACATAACTTGTACCATGAAATGCCGTGATGTGCCAATGTGAAAAATCTAAATGCGAACAAAGTTGATTGAAGTTCAACATTTGAACCGAATAAATTAAATTCTATTTTTTTTTGCAGTAGTAAACCTAACTAACAATTTTGTGCAAAAGAGTTTATGCACACATTTACTCATATGAGGTATGTTATAATAAAGTTAGTGTGAACTTAATTTGTTTAGGTGAGCTACCACGAACCTCCACTATTTGGATGTTGTTTTGATGTTCCTTGCGATGATGTAGTTAGGTTTTAAGTAAAAACGCATTACGCTTTCTGCAGGCGTATCTACGCTGTAAGTTTTTACTTTGCGTGACCTTTGCAAGGTACAAAATGTATTTCAAAATGTTTTCCTCGAAATCCCCCCTCTGCCTCCATGGCCCATTCAAGTGTTTTGTGCGAGGAGATCAAGTTTTCAGCCAGCTTGGAGGACTCGTGGCTTCCATCCGAGCCACTAGAGGACTTCCCGTGGGTAGCCTCTCTGTCCGACACGTCTTTTCTATTGCCTACTGAGGATGATTTAGACCCACAAGGTATGAAAATTTTACTCCTATAACGTATTTTCTAGAAAAAGTTATTGATTATAGTAGTACGCCGCAGGATTTCGCTGTCTCCTGCTGTGCCCATACTACTCAGCTCCCAGCTGATCTTATTGACTTTGTCACATCGTACGCATTCTCTAGTAAGGCTTCCCCCAGTTATGCCCCTCAAATTTCCCATTTGCCCGTGCGGCTAAACCGCGATATTCTCCCTATTAAGAAGCCCAAAACGAAAATTCCAATACACTCTTCCCCCATAAAAACCCATGTCGAATCCCAGCAGGCGTTTAATGCTCCCCGGAGGCGCAAAAATGTCGACAGGGAGCAGCAGTTAAAAAAACGCCAGCTTAATCGTGATGCAGCTTTCCGCTATCGTCAAAAGATGAAGGAGAGTCATACTGCTCTTTGCAAGGATCTCTCGGAATCGATCGAAGCTTTTAAAAGAGCTCGGAAAGAATACGAGCGGGCTCGCGATGCGTTTGATGCCCTGAAGAGGGTTGTTTTGGACATCGAGGTTCCTGATCTCAAGTCTGTGTACGAATCGCGTCCCACTTTTTTCTAACCCTCCTAATGTTTGTCGTACTGTTTTAACAGGGATTTTCTGTTTCCATAATTTGTAATAAATTGGGCTGCTTTCTTCTGGACTCATCGTCTGACTTAGTGATCGTGTGCCAGCGATAGGTACCCCGCTAGGATTAATTTCTGTGTCCCTTTCATTCGGTTTCAAGCGATTTGCTCCTTTTACATCCTATTTCCTAAGTAATATAATCGAACCAGCGTGTAGCAACTTTATTGGGACCCCTAGTCAGCCCATTCGGCAGTCGTCCATAGTTTCGACTTGTAAATTTCGTAAAATGTAGTTTAGTATGTTGCATGCAATGGCAAAGTTTGATCTCTTAGACCTATTTTAAGGAACCATCTTCTAAAATTTTTAAAAGCCCTGACGGATGAATCGAGTCCCTCGGATTTCTATATTTGTATCGTATATTTATTTATCCAGGGCAGAGCATCGACCTCCTTGCCACCGCTCAATTTTTCTGGATTGTTGGTTATTTTCGATGGAGTTCTGCTGATTTAAATACCTACAAATTTGCCTATGTAGATTATCCGTCCAAGTTATCATCTCTTCTTTGCTTTTCGGCACGTTCGCATTAATCTCGTAATAGTGCATTCGTTCATGTTGTGGTACATTCATTCCCATATATTTACGTGTAACAGTGCAATGGTTATGTTTCGGCAAAATGGGTGCAGAAAACCAAAAAAAGGGAAGAAGACCTGAGACAACATTTACAAGGGTTTCCTGGTCCATGTTGGGTTCGCGCACAAGTTTGGGCCTGCTTATGATTCGGCGTCCACAAGTTCGAATGCAATAAATATTGGCGACCAAAAGCACAAGAGGCTCATTGAGAGCGATTGCGAATCGGGACGCAGTTATGGGGGTCTAGCCATTGTGCTCACTGTGCTTCAGTGGGTAAAGCTAGGGTTATTATGACGTTGCTTCGGAAGCGATTTATATCGAAAATCAAACAAATGATGAAGTCTCGGATCTCATGAGGGGCAATACAAATGTCTGGGGATTAGTAGCCTTGAGCAGCTCTCTATTGACGGCAAAAACGCCCGATAATTATATTTTATGAATGTAGACAGTCTGCATCATAAGCCCAGTGAGATTCAAAAACAACTTTGACGCGAATCGCTCTCCTCTATTTGTAGTTATGGTGACAAACGCCATTTGCTCCTATTTTAGCAAATATGTCCTTCATTGAAAAGGCGTCCTACGAACGAGTGAAATAATCGACTCAAGTTGGCAACCAAGGCATTTGTAGTGTGGATGTGGTCCAATGATATTGGTGTGGTCGTGGTCAAACCGTGCTTTGCTATGCAGACCGACATTTAACGCCTGGAACCCCAGGCCGCTTTGTGTCAGTCTTCTGAATGTCGTTAATCGTGGGGGCCACACATGATGTTTTGCTACTAGCTTTGATGTCGCCCATTAGCCTGAGTGAGATAGACTATGAAGGGCGTACAGACCTCAATTTGAGGAGCGTTGCATACAAGCAGAAAATTGAAAACGAGTGTTCTGGCAGGATGTAAGAATTGGAACCCCACCTAATTACAGCGGCAATTTCTGTTTACAGAGCTCTAGATGTTAGAAGCACATTTTTGATGTGGCGTGTAAGTCGATAACTACAGGATATATCCTGAGTGTCACACTTTCCTAGTTGAAGACTTAAATGAACTTCAACGATCGGTGCCAATCATAAATTGCTGTAAGAGATTTCACCGATGAAGATGCTCTGACGCTTCTAGATATATTCTATTGACAGCCTGTAGCGAAACTGCACACAAAGATTATGGGAAAATGTCGGTTTACAGGAGCAGAGAAGGTCAGATAATCGTTATTAGACGAATATTGCAGTAGATTCCTTCGCACCCCACCAGTTATGTCCCGATTTTTGGTAAAAATTCTAAAAAGCCCGACAGAGGAAAGCTTACCTGGGATACATCGGGCATGAACTGACGATTAACGTTGGTCGCGCCTATGAATTGACTTAAGCCTCCTGAAATTCGCAAATGGCAAGTCGTTGTTCAAGCAGTTAAACTGAATGCCCTAAAAATTTTGTATTCGGGGTTCAAAAACGTACACCAAGAAGAACCATGATGTTCTCAAGGCTGCGCCTTATCCCTACTGGCTATGACAGCGTCTCGGATAAACGAAACTACATTTTAGTTGAACACTAAATCGTGTAGAACCGGCAGAGGATAATAACCAATCATTGTGATTTCGTTTGGCTCGTCAATTGACTCTTTTTTTGGAAAAAGTGGAATACTGATGACTATCGCTGTCTGAGTTCCAGGCTATCACACGCGTTAAGGTGTGCGCTAAAATTCACGCTTGATCTTGGCTAACCTAGACAGAGTCAACCAATTTGACATGGCACGAACGGGGTGACCATTCGTGACCTCGCGCCAAAACTCAGTGTTTCTATGGCTCGAGTTGACTGGGTCCAGATAACTTCAAATAGGGGCCTTTGTCAGCATGCGTAATGGTTGATCGGGTGACCTAGGAGGTTCCTTGTAACGCACTGTTTGTTGAAAGGTCAGTTAGTGATTGTACTAAACCCTAGTTCTTAAAGTCAATATAAAGATACAAATACTTGAGGAAAGTGTCGCCTAAGATAGAATGAGTCCCTATCACGATTATAATCATCCACCAGAGCCGACGTTCCGAAAGAAGATTATTTCTGGTTGCATTTTTGAACTACTGCTTCTGAGGAGACACGAAGGAATTTAAAAGAGGGTTTCCGGAAGGCGTCAATGGAATAAAGGCTAACGAGTCATCTATAAAAAGATGAAGGAACGAGTAAGCGTCGGTGGTAATCGTCTCTACTATCTGGCTCTTTTTTTCCTAGTAGCGAAGTACACGATAAAATTCACTGTATAAGGTCACACTCTCGACGTTTCGGAGGCACCAACCTATTACTTGTCGATGAGAACGTGATCGAACTTGCTACGACAAGAATGATTGGAGGTCAAGTTTCCTACCATCGGCTGCAGCTTTCTCGAAGAGTTTTCGATTCAGAGCATTTGCTTGCGGGGTCGAATTCGGTGACATAGACGGGTTTGGTTGGTTTTTGTGCATGACAGTATACTTCACAATCAAAGGCAAAGATATTTGTCCACATTGAGGCAATGTGTTTTTGTCGGCAAAACAGGCACAAAGCACCCAACATGTTTACCAGTCAGCTCAACGTGTTGATTCAGCGTGCCTGTGACGCACTGATGCACACAAGTTCGGGGCAATGAATGGCACAAGGGGCCCGATGGCAGATAAGACGTGTGTGGGTGATTTACTAGGCAGTTTTGGGGTAGAGGAGAAAAACACACGAGTGAACGACAAACCAGGACATAAGTGGGCGAAAGTGATGTGTATGTTTTTAAGACAATCCATCACGGCTCTAATACTTTTTATAGCGCAACTAGGGTCTGGTTTCCACTTCAGCTTAGGCCCTTTTCCACAATAAGGACTGTCTTCCTGGATGCCACATCCACTAATTTCACTGTTACATTTTTCTTGCTCTCATCGACTCTTTTGGTAACTACGGACTTCGCTGGTTCCTCCGCTACGCCTATGTGCTCTGCCCTGATCATTCATATTAGTAGCTTGTTACCTGTAGAGACGGATGAAATCTGATTCGTTTAGGTGCTAATTGAACAGTTGTATTAGTCTGTAATTTTAAAAAAGACAGCTGGAAATCAGGACAGGATGGATACCACCTTTTCTGACAAGAGTTTATCTAGCATTCACTGGACTCATGACTGAGTTTCCGAACGTTTAACCAACAGTCTGGTGCCTCAACTTCATGTGGTGCAATTGTGGAATTCTGAATTCCCAAATTTGTCCATAAAATTCCCTCAGTTAAATTGTTTTCAAGTAACTTAATCTCATTTATATGGGCTGCTTTGATATTAGGCTTTAACTCACCACAATGTGTTATTTTTCCCACATAGTAAACTCATTGGACTAATCAATTTAGGAGAACGTTTAAACAAAAGGTAGGGTTTTCTTTTGCTCGAATGCAGAATCAAATGTCGGCACGGTATTTAAGTCTTGATGGTGGTTGCCATTACAAAGGAAACACTCGACTAACAGCTGTAGAGCACTCGTTTTCACCACAATTATACTGCAAGTGTGGCGCAAGTGCCAGAGTGTTGAGGCGCTGCACGCGCCGCGTCAACTCGCTCAATTAAGACAGCAGCCAAGCGGTTTTATCGCGAGCATTCCGTTTGTTTCCACACATAATACCATTCATGTATGCTCATCCGGCTGCGCCAGCTTAGCCAGTTTGCTGTTGTTGTTTGCATACGGCGGCAGTTTACCAGCAGGACGCGTGGGTGACCGAGGAAAACCAATCAGAGCAGCCCTAGCAGCCACGTGGCACTGGCATTCGTTTTTGGCACGCATTCCTATTTTGATAGCTGACAGTTGGGAGTTTGTTTTTTTTTGCGATTCGGGCCAGCCTTTCATTGAAAAATGTTGATTACTGAGAGGTCTCTATTCTACCTCCAAACCTTATAACTTGTAAAAGTCCAAGTCTTGGTAACTCGTTCACGAAAGATCAAAATCAAGAATTTTAGTGATTAGTAACGTTCAAAAATTTACAATCTCGTGAATTTAGTTGAGGTTTATATCTCCCTCACATGTCCAAGCAAGAAGACGGCAGTTGGAAAACACTAACACGCCGTTACATTCAGAAGAATTTTACTGTTAAGATAATATTGGCAGCAGTAATCTCAAAGAACAACACAAGATACCGCTAACTACGGAACCATTCTTAGGCTCTTGGACATGCGATGTTAATGTAAATGTGGTGAATAGAGTGATGAATTTGTGCTAATGTGACTAATCTGGCCACTAACCGGTAAGGTTCGCAGAACTTATTTATGTACTCACACCAATAATTTTGATTCCTCACGGACGATTCTAGTCCGGATGACCTGTGTTCGAATTGCTTTCAGACAATCCAATTATTATTCAAAATACTTGGTTCGGTAACCCGCATTTGATTGGCAAGTGCTCTATATATGACAAAATATATTTGCAGAAAAAAATCGAATTTGAAAGTACAAAACGTGTACATCAGGTGGCCTTTATCAAAGGCGAGTAGCACAAGACTATTGTGCAAAAATCAGCTATGTCAGGGCCGATATTCTACATGCACAATGAAACTGGCTTTGTAGCTCAGATATTGATTTCCACCACGTGTTATTCGAAGTCGGCGTGGGTGTAACTTACACATTATCGTGGGATTTGACTTGTTCCTGATATGTCACAGGAAGGTCGAAAGGACAGCGGTGCCTCACAGGGATCTGGCAAGGTGGATAATTCAAAAGTCGAAACCACAGCGGAACCCCCAGTTGAACCCACAGCTGAACCCACGGCAGAACCCACAGAGGAGCCGGCACAAGAGTTGCAGGAGGTAGAGGCGCCTGAGGATGAGTCCAACATCAACCCAAGGGAATCAAAAGCCGACGCAGATGCAACTGGGCAGGAGGCAGCGGACCAAGCTAGTAAAGGCGAGTCAGAGGGGGAAGAGGATAATGAGGAATCTGATCTGAGAAGTATTGAGGCGAGTGCGCCAGCTCCAACACCCCAATTCGATGAAGGATTCGACGGTGAGCCTCACCCAATGGACACGAATGACCTCGAATCAGCTCTTGATGCTGCTCTAAGCCACCTTGAAAGTATGTCGACAGTAGAGTTTTTACAAACAATCGCGAATAATGCCGATATTCATGAGCAAGCGGTGATGTCTGCTAAAAGTATTGCCAAGGAGTTTGTCAGCAAGGCCGCAGACTTGGCCGAGGCTATGCAGTTGATTCTTCTGTATGACCAGTTAATGCTGAAAAAGCTCAATCTTACGACTGCCTACGACTTTGGCGTGAAACCGAAAACCGATGATGGTAAGTGGCTCTTAAAATTTACCACTTTGCTATTTTGATCTTATCAAATTGCGAAGGCAGTTTGCAGTCTTATTTGTTATCGCAATTACGTGATTGATTGAGATTTAGCTAATAACGGATTAGAAGTACAGTGCAACGGAAAATCACCATATTAATCTGGATTTTGTTTATGACGATTTGATTTTCTTACATAGGTGCCAAAAGGTTGCTTGCTCAAAACAGCCATTTATCCATTTGAAATTGATATTCTCAAGCACGTTATTTGAAGAGATGTCACTTTGCATGTTATCTTAACTCCTGGTAGGTGTTATTCTGCAAAAAACTTCACTTGACACAATGTTTGCATTTGATTGGTTTCCTTAAACTTTTCAAAGGGTTGATTTGCCAAGCTCACAGCTAAACCATTATTTTGGCACCATTTGGCGTCTAAATTACTATAGGCTGAGCTACGGAAATGGGGTTGATCAAATTCTCCACAAACCTCTAAAAGCACTTATGAGTCAATTAATTTGAATTATTATAAAACAGTTTTAGTTCTAAGTGTTGATGAACCAGGTTATATAAGCCAGGGACAATAAAAATATTTTTAGGCTACCCAGCTATTTGATACAAAACAAATTTCGCTTTCATGTACCTGGATTTTCAACTGACTGACAAATCATACTTCACTGTTCGTTGTGGTTTCTTGTGTTGTAACCTCTACTGCTTCTTGCACACCTTGTCAGCACGCCACCTTGTCATCTACCTAAAAGAGAGCAAGAAAATAGGTGTTATCACGCACTTTTTCCTAACACAAGTGTAATCAGTGGAATCTGAGCAATTACCGTCTTAATGAACTTCTCTGCAGCTATGTAAATTTGGTCGTGCAGTTGCTTCATGTCATTTCTGCTGATTGACGCACTCACACTAAGATGTTAGATTACTCACAGGCGCTTCTAGAACAATAGTCGACTTGTTCACTTTCGCCCGGGCGTTATTTACCAAGCGAATAACTTGTAAATCATGATTGGTCCTTTTTAACCTGCATCGCAACCTGGGTAACAAACCAACGTGCGCTCAAACTTGAGGCCTGTAAAGCCCCTCCGATAGTTCCTTGAACTCCAACCACGCTTCAAGGGTAGCGAAAACCGGTAAAAAAACAAGCGGATGCTATGGGTGATTAAACCCGAGCCTGGCTTCTCCTGGGCAAATGCTACCGCGTAAAGTAGTGCTTTAAATCAAGTAAAAACCACTACTGTTTTCTTTCGATTCATTTTTACAGGTTTCACACCACCCATATTCCTGTAATTGAAACCAGACATGGAGGCGTTAGCCAATCTCAATAATAAAAACTTGCATTGAAAAATAGGTAACGCCCGGGCATGAGCAGATTCTGCAATTCTGATTAAGAAATTATGTGTCAGATTCGTACGTATTTTTTTTTCACAGAAACCCGTGCAGTCATGATTGATCGTGCACAGCGAATGCTCCAGCTTGGACAAAGGCAATACGACATAAGCCACCAGATTAGCGAATCAGCGAAGCCACTAATCGACTATCGTTTTGAGGCCTGTGATGACTTCAATGCAGTGCAGGAAAAAATTGCGAACATGAGGGAGGAGGAGAAGAAGCGAGCCGTTCGGTTGGCACAAGAAGAGGCCGAGGCGCTCGCCCAGAAGGCTGCACAAGACGAAGCCCAACAAGCCGAGGGAGAGGGTGAGGCATCGGCGCCACCGAACGCCGACGCGGCTCCAGAACAGCCAAGCGCCGAGGCTGCCAATCCAACCCCTGGCGAATAAGCCTTTCTCGTCTGGAAACGTGCTGTGCATTCCGATGTATTAAAGAACTAGTCATTGTTGTGTTGTAGGTGCGCCGGTTTTTTTTATAAACTCCTTGTTGATTGGACGTTGCATTATGTCGATCCAAGTGTTTAGGTCCAATTTGATTGATTTGGTCATCCCGCATCAGGTGCTTGTGTGCTCTAACATTGCCACATGAAATCGACATCACTGGCATCTATGCTTATAAAAGTCTCGTCTCTGGGTGTGCAGGAAATGAGGCCCGCTCCGTCTGCCTCAGGTAATTAAAGATCTCAAAAAAAGTTCAAAGTAATTACCTAATTGAATGATATGTATCTACTTGGCAAAGGCGTGGAGAGGTTCTCTTAAACACGTGTGATTTGGAAAATTCAGCCAATGGCCAATTAAGGTCACTTCAAGGTGAAATTAAGGTCGACTGTTGCACATGGAATGCATTACAAAGTTAAGCTGTAGAAAGTAAACTCTAATTTACTAAGTGTCTCTGCCGCGCGCGATCTGCTCGCGGACAAACTGTGATGGGCGGAAGCCGCGTGTTTACAAAATGTCGGCAAAAAGGCGTCATAAACGTCCGTGTGCAGGTGTGTGTGTGTGTGTGTGTGCATGCATGCTGTAAAGCCGCATGTTTTCGAGTCCACTATGAGTAGGTGGGGTTCGGCAGCGGCGCTGGCCAAGACACATTCCGCGCAGAGCCATATACACGGCAGCGACATCGCTGACGGTATTTGACTCAACTCTTCAAAGTTTGCTCCAGTGAGAAGCTAATCGGTTGAAAAAAACACACGTCTACACGAGTGACGTCTTTGAAAGCCAGGCTGTCTATTTTTGCTCTCGTTACTACGTGGTACCAACTTCCTTACACCGACGAGTCGTTTTCGTCTCCACTCAACCAGCTGAACATGTGCGAAACATCTGCCTCACAATGGTGTGTGACTCTACTTGTCACATAGACTTTGATAATTATTTATGCTTGCCCCGAAGCTTAACAAACATCGCCTCTTTTTTAAGTAGATAGCAGTCGTATTTATCGTGTAAACGCTGCTGCCGTATTCCACTGTAGTTCAATGCAGGTTAATTTTAATTAGAATTGATATGATTTAAATGAACCTGTTGTGACTCGTGTTTATACACACACACCTTAATCCGGTCACTATACCCTCCGACACAGGGTTCCCCTTTACGTAGCATGTTACCAGCTGCGTGGATCCTCAACTCCGCCCTTCATTAGCGCGAACGGTTATCCTGGGTTATCCTCACACCTAGGTCACGATGTTTGCGTATCTATGACTCACGCATCTGAGGTATAAATACACACGCGCAAACCCGACACACGACACCAACATGGTTAAGCTCTGAAGTAAATGGTTGTGTCCACGTTTTCTCTGGCCTTTTTCTTCATCGCGGGTCTCAGGGAAGCGTAAATGGGCCAGGATTCATTTAGTGGCCCCGGCGTGGTTCAAGACCACATGCTGGGGCCCACAACAAGCTCATATAATGACGATTTTAAACTCAGTTGCATGAATAGTCATCCAAAACGAGCGTGAAACAATTTGCTTTTGAGGCGGAGGTAGAGCAGCCTTAATAATCATTTACTGAGCATGAAGTAAGGGAAAGCGAAAAGGTAGTCGATGAAGCAAATCCACGATTTCGGTCAGCGGCAATTCGGAAAACATAGTAACGAAAATAAAAGCGTATGAGTACTGATTTGGCATTAGTTTCAAACAGTGCGACTATTTTCCAAATTGTGATGAACGGATTACTCGTTTGCTGCTAAACTGATTTTATAGATGTCTGGCGTTTAATGAAATAAGTCCACATTCACGTGCCAGTGGTTTTTCCATAAATACACACGTCCAATCTGCCACCCAAGTGATTGTTTGATAGTAATGATGAAATTTATCCTTGAAACGCCCTACAAAAACTTCTGGTCAAAACAACAGGTGTCAGAAATCAGACATCACGAAGCACCTGAAAAGGGTAATTTACTCGTCCATCTATTTGTACAAGAGTTCTGCCTTCGGACAAATAACAAAGATTTGCTTTACTGAACAGCCAATGGCACCGTTCGGTTTGCAAGTGAAACATCGATAATTTCGCACGTGGTTTAAATGCGTGCCAAAACATCTGGCTAAGCGGATCGCGGCGGTGTTAACTTAGGTGATCGAAGAATTAGCGCTAGATCGAAGCACAAAGCGATTCTACCAGAATGGAGCCCGAACCCAAGGAACACGCATCCGAGGAAAATAAGGCAGAAGATCAAGAAAATGCAGCTGTCGAAGAAGAGGAAAAAAAGGAGGTAAATGAGAACGAAGGGGAAGAAAAAGAGGGAGAAGCAGAAGAGAAAGAAAAAGTCGAAGGCGAAGAAGAAGCGGAAGATGGGGAAGAAGGAGAGGAAGAGAATGAAGGAGAAAAGGCAGAGGAAGAAGGGGAGGAAGAGGCTAATGTGGAACAAGGCGCGAATTTAGAAGACGTTCAACATGAGGAGTTTGGTAGCGAGATCAAACAGCTCCCACCGAACGTAACTCCAGCCATGCTAAAGAGCATTATGGCATCCGAGGTAGCACATCTTAAGGCAATGAAACCGGCCGAATTCGTTCAACAAATGGAAGAGTTGAAGCAACTGCACGACCAAATTTACATAGCTGCAGAGAAGTTCATTAAGAGGGTGATTGCCCAGATTCCACAGATTACGCCTGTATTGAAGAAAGTGAGCGAGTATGACCAACAGGCGTGCGACAGGGTACTCGAGGCTACAGACGACGACTGGAGAATGGCTGGAATCAATGCAGAAGGTGATGCCCCTAGTAGACTTTTTACTTGTCGCATTTTCGGCCGAAACCTTAGGTAACCATTTCATCACATTTACTAAAGGGACATAGATGGATTTTATAAAATCAAGCTAAGTATGCAATTAGATTGAGTTAATGGGGAATGGGTCATAGTTAGAGATTGCGAATAAAAATGGTTTGTCTCAGTTTGGCCACGTTGCTTCACCCTCAATTTATTCCATTTAGGTAGTTTTTCAAGTTGAGATTTTAAACGAAATTAGATTAATACAGTAACGATGGTAGGGTAGTTATTCAAAAGGCAACAAGTCTCTTCCTAATTTATGTTTGTTAATCCAGCTTTTCAAAAAACAGTTACCACTAGTTTTGATTACGTCCCTAAGTTTCACTTCGCAAGGCGGTCAATTCTAAAATGAATGTGCTCGTTTGATTTAAACAAAAATGCCATCATCAGAAATGTTGTTACTTAAGTTGAGCCAGTAGAAGCGTAAGTATTGGGTGTAAATGCGCACGAATTTATGATGAATCTCGCTAATTCACTTCCATCAACCAAGTCGCGGCATTCACAGTGCCCCATGTTCGTGTGAAACCGCCTGTCCATGCATCTATGTGCATGTACCCACCATCCCTGCTACACCTACCGTTGACCTGGCTCTCCTGTCGCTTGTCCTTATTCAAGCTCACCCTGCCTGAATTGATCAACAGCACTCACAGTCGTACAGGACTTTAAACGCACACACAACCAGGTGCCGCCATCTAATCTAGGGTTGTGTCTGGGTTTCTGCGTAGCGTGCTGGGGCCGTTAACAAACTCACATTACTTGACAAGATCAGGTTTTGAACTCTGCGCATTCTCTGGACACCATTCATTAAGCTGCTGTCCATTCCAAGCACAAATCCTGGTTATTTGTAATTGCATGGTTGCAGCAATCTCAGCCAAGGAAGGTTTCAGTAGACGTTCTTTGGTTGGCATTTTAATTGCTAAATTAGCTCTCGATTAGTACCAAAACAACGCTATGCAGAGCAGGTAGCGTGCATCACGCCTCGTAGGTTTTTCAACCATACTGTGCAATAGGAGACCTTCATTTGACTTTGATTGCAGAACGCGAGAATATAATAGACATGCTGGAGGAACGCATGGCGGAGTCGGTGCAGGTAAACTTTGATTTCACCCATGAGATCAGCTACATCGCCGGTCCACTGACAGTGTGGCGTCTAAATGCCTGTACCGCGGTGTGGGCGGGCAACAACGAGATTGTCAACGCGCACAAGGTGACAGCCTTTGTTTTCGACGATCCCGACGCCAAGCGCAAGCGGGAGGAGGACGAGGAGGCGGAGGCGGCGGCCGCGGCGCTCGCCGAAAAGGCCCGTTTAGAAGAGGAGGCCAGAAGGAAGGCGCTGGAAGCCGAGGAGGCCGAGAGAGCGCGGCTGGAGGCCGAGGCTCACATCGAGGGCCAGCTGGACCCTGAGGAGATCGCCGCAAGCGAAAGACCTCCACTGAAGGAGTGGAGCAAATATGTGTAAGATCCAGTCTGCGAATTCTACTCCTGATGGTGGCGGCCGAGTTTGACACCGTGAGGATAATTCGATAGACGTGTCATGCCAACCCCAAGTAAATTCAGCTGTAATTCAGTTGTAATTCACACACACACACACACAAGGCACCAATTTTTCGGCACAGAAACAAAACAGGACCTCGTAGAAAGATATCTTTGGTCACAACAAAAGTTTAAGTACTCTTACCTAGCACGCTGGCAGACTCTGTAAGATGAATTAGAACAAAGTGGGCACAGACCTATGGAAAAACACCAGCAGTGGTTTAACTAATGACAGAGTCTTAGGGAATGCCGACCTACCCAACCGTTCGCCTAAAGAAAGTCATTCAGGAACGGAACAAATTTTGGCCTATTTCGCCTTACAGATATACAGTCGGTGAGGGCGAGGACATGCGGGTGATTTGTTATGTTCGCGCACCACCTGACTGCCTGGTTAGCGAGGACAGACTCATCTGCAGCTTTGGCGACGCCCTGGCGGAATGGCCCAACCTACCGGGAAATTCCGAGGCCATCGGCAAATTTGTCTGCATTAAACCGAGCCACCCGAAGCGCATTTGCATTCTCGTAAGCTAGTTAACTTGGGCGATCAACTCGTGTGACGATGCAAAAGTAGTACCCCCTATTTAGTGTAAATCAAGCATCACCGATTACATTTTTGAATGCTACATCAACTGATTTATACCCATTTCAAAGAGATCATGCGCACGAAAAAAAGTATTCCCTCAATCATTCCCTTCCAGATTTTGTGTAAAATGTTTATATTCAGATGTCGTAGCTGTAAAGTTATTTATTAATCCCTTTTATAGCCGGATGAGCCTTGGATTGTTGGCATCCCACACAAATACGGCAAGAATCCTACCAGGGAAGTTGTCGTATTCTCCATGGATGCTGATGAATTTGGTCCGCCAAAACAAACTCTTGAACTGGATGAAACTGATGTGCGTTCAAATTTGCATTTAGGACGCAGGTCAGATATTAGCCCAAATGTGCTGAGCTAAGATATGTCCATTCACATTCACACTGAAGCAATAAGTATGGAGCTTTACAGATCTGAACTGGAAATGTTGAAGTACTCAGCCCAGTAAAGAGAACGGAAATTCATTAGCAGTAACATCTTAATGACTAATACTAATAGATTTGTATCAGGAGCCTTTTAAAACTTCAATGATTACTAATTAGTGGACAGCTGACAGGGACAATCGAACATATATGTCAAGGTTTAAAGATTGCCAGAATTAAGCAGTTCTTTGAGCCCAAATACAACAATTACCTTGATCTCCATCTAATGGAAGCGAACTCATATCTGTCTCTCAGTGGTGGATCAAAGGAATCGCTGCTAAAAAATACTTAGATTCCTTATGTTTAGTCTGTTTATAAAAACGTTGATAGGATTTTCCCCTGAACATTAAAATAGCACTCAGTTTAAGAAATTTTCTTGGAAATGTTTAATGCTGGGTAGATGACTAAGCTAAAGATAAGATTTCAGTTGGTGTTATGAAGGAGGCGGAGGCGGATGCCGAGGAGACAACACAGAAGTTGCCTTGGATTGATTTGCAAACAACAGACGTCGCCTACGAAGATTCGCGGTACCTCGAAATCAAGCTGACCCGCCTTGGCACAGCGATCACCCTGGCGCCGGCGGCGCGGATCAGACGCGACTCGGTGGAAGTGGGCCGCGCCGGAGGAAAACTCAATTCTCTCGTGGACAAGAGAGTCGTCCTTGTCGTTCCACCAATGGCCCTCAAAATCACCTGTATATACTCCATTCAGGTAAGAATACGGTCGCCCACTGGTGTGTATGGTTGGCACAATACCACGTTGTTTTTCCCCTACAAAATTCTCCCCTTTTACTAACCACCAATAACATCGGGGTAACTTATACCATGCGGAATTAAAATTCATGCAAACTAGAGCAGTTCAAATAGTGGCCTGCCTCAAACACTTACCTATCGATTCGACTTTCAAGTTAGCCCAAAAATGTGTATTATACCAAATTGTCAATATATTTAACAATTTGATTGCCTGTTAAAAACACGCTTTTGTCGATCGAATCCCAAATAGATCTGTTTGCACAGTAAAATAAGTTTTATTTCACATAATTATTTAATTTTTAGATTGCAAAAATAATGTATCATACTGATAATCGATTAACCAATCAATAACCAGACAAAGTAATTGTTGTGCCAAAAGGTATGCATTATATTAGGCATTCAAAAAATTTACGCAGTCGATTCCGTCCTAAAAATAGCATTTTGATAGATTGATTTCCACGTAAAATATTAATGCTAAAGTTATAAGAATAATCTGTTACAACATTCGTGGATTATGACATAGGATATTTGTAAATGATACATTTTGCACAGACGAGTTCTATTTAGTTTAGTTACTTAGTTTTAGTATTGTGGAAATAATTCCTCCAAAATATTGACAAAAGGTTATTTCCATTTTTATTTCATCTTTCAGTAGCTGGATTGATTTCTGAAATAACCAAGTCATAAACCAAGTTCATTTTAATACGCAATATTTTAATCACCGTTTTTCATCTCATTCATGTGCACTTAAGTTCCACTGCATTACAGCCACTTAATTCAATGACAACGTGCATCGCCTTCCGAGTTTACCCTCGGACGGTTTTGTTATTTCCCTGGAAGACGTTACTTGGAAGGAATGAATATGGTGCAATCAAAATGTTTGCCCCGTGCAAAGTTAACTGATGGCTAGCCCTATCGTGGCATTCGGTGGCTGTACTAGCAACTTGCCGATAGAGTCACGATTTGTGGTCTTTAGGCAATTTCTTTTTCATTTCTTAAGGTCCAGCCAATCAGCCAACATCACGCACACCTGCTGCGAGACCAGAACTTGGCCTTCATGTCCCAATTTACAGCCTGCAGTCCTTTAATACTGCTAAGTAAGTCGATTGTCGTGATGCCATGTGATGAGGGTCACATGTGCCTCGTGCGTAGATAAAGCAGTCGAGAAGGCCCTATGAGCACACCCACGTATATCATGAAGAAGTGCGGCTGGCAGTTCTATTCACGGCTAGCGACTGCCACACGCGTTCAAATCCTTTACGACCTCTTTCAATACCGAGAACAGGCGGATGTCAGAGCACTCAAATTACAACATAGAGGGCATTAGCTGAAACTAACTGCCGTTCCAGTGTTTCGTGGTCCCTGGCTTCAAAAGGAGCCATTTAGGGACGGTTGTTGTCTTAACTCATGCTTGGCTTCAGTGTGTCGAAATTGTGGCAAAGGTCACACGCCTTAATGCTAACTGAAACCCCTTTTTTTAAAGCTGGACCAAAGAAGATCCTGTTTAAGATGGCAACGTGGACGCTGCCCTTGACTGATGCCAATCCATCAACTCAAGTGGTCATCATGTCCACCGCCAACATGCCCGAGGCTTTCACTGGGCGTAGGAAGACAAAAGGAGGCAAACCCGGTGGACCAGGAGGCCAAGGTGAGAGAACTTTCGGTCTTGCTGGTGTTACTACACGTGACTATGTCTGACCGGACACCAAAAACTTCTCGGATGGCAATTTTAGTCAAATTTAGGCACACACTCCTGTGTGTGTTGTCTGTTATTATGACGCATTTACATTCAGCAGATATGCGGAAATCATATTTTACTTTGTAATAATGCGTTTTGTAATTTTCGATAAAAATGTAGGGCAGCCTGGCGACTCTGACGACGACAATGACGTGGGTTCAGATGCGGACAGTCAGGGGGGCGGTAGTCCACGCGAACTCGACCCCTTCCAGCGCTCCCTCCTGCTGCCAAAGTTGCTGGCGGGAGCAAACTCAAGTCATGCTGAGGTCGCGCTGATGTATTCAGGTCTTGAGAACTCCAACTGGAAGGTCTGGGAAAATGTTGAATTCGTTGAGACAAAGAATGTTGACGTGTGCGTCTTCAACTGTCGCCGGCTGTTACCACGCAAGTACGATAAGAAGTGTATTCATTCATTTTCAAGAGTGCTATCAATTTATGACGCATCGTCAAAGGTGGCGTAATGATAACTTAGGCTACTTTCCAGCACCACTTTTTTCGTTACTACCGACCGCACACACATACTAAAGCAGGCTAGAAATGTAATTTACCAGCATCCAGAGATCTAAAGCTAAGACAATAGCTTAAAATCTGAGCAGCCACGTAAATTTTTCACGTCAACAATCAAAGCAGTTTAAGCGCATCTCCTGTCCATTGTGTCAAGGAGATAGTGTGACATATTTTAAAGCAAGTTACTAGTCAGGAACGAGACGCAAATTGAGAGATATGCACTACGTGCTGTGTATGTATGTCCAGGATCATGGCAATCCAGACACGAACTGTAGTGGACAATGACAGTCTCATCCACATGGCCCAGGTTCTTGAGAGGAGTCTTTCTCAGCGCATTGTCTACGCTTGTCTGCGTCAGAACAAGGCTGAACCTGGCCGTATTTGCTTCGCACTTTGCCTGACTCGTGACCTCGACACGACCTTGAACCAAATGGCAGCTAAGGGATACACCGAGGGCGGCAAACCTATTGGTCCATTGTTCATCTATGAGAGACAGACATTTGACATAATCTTCAAAGGAAATGTCCGGCCCAAAAAGCAAACAGTTGGCAGAAGCTCAGGCCGGCTGGTCACTGATAAAGGCAAAGTCCGCATTACATTCAATACTTCGCTTCGAAACGAATATGTCGTGAGTTTCAGTCCTGACCAAATTAGGATATTTAATGAGACAATATGCAAGAAAAGGTCTAAGCTAAATATACTTGGCTCCGTTGGGTTAAAGTTAGGTTGAGATTAACATACACACAGTTAAGTAACGCTCACTACTACTTAATTTACTGTTCCACTTATAATGGGGATGAAGAGAGGTCAATTTTTAAAAAAAACTTGACAATTACAAGCTGATTTTAGTGAAATTAGTGAGTCCTTTGTGTTAGCGTTCCCCTCACCTCCAGTCTAATGATGTCGGGACTAACTTAAACCCATGAAGTTGGAATTAATTCGGCTTCGACCAGGTATGAAGTCACACATAGATATCACGCTAAAATCCCTTATCGCACTTGGTAGTGTTGACAATTGTAGGTTGATGTTGAGGAGTGCGATCCGAGTGCGCAGGTGGCCTGTGAGAAGTACCGTGGTTTCATTGAAATCTCCTACAAGCAGAAGGTGAAGGTGCCCGTGAAACGAGGCAAAGGACAACAAAACCGTTCAGGTCCAATGAAGAAATTTGTCATGGAGACGCAGACAGTCCTGCTATGCCAGCTCCTCATCACGCTACCCAAGAAGTCCATTGAACAGGTCGTCGACGAAGACACCATCTCCTATCACTTTCAGCCAAATGGTTAAGTGATTTTCAGCCAGATTATTTTCCTTTCGAGGAAATATTCGTCACACACTTAATCCGGAATCGATAAAGGCGTGTGAGAACGCAGAACTAAGATGGATTCGGGCTAAGCTCGAATTACCATTGTGGTAAATTCAGCTACCTACTGTTGGAATGGTGCACCTCAGATGCACGACGTGCGCACTTTTTGACACCGTGCACCTGCGCCCACAGTCGTAAAGTTTTATGTTCTCATTTTTTTTGCGCAATTAACTTCCATCTACTACGGGCATTTTTTTCAGCCTAATAACGATCACCCGAGGGCACAACCAGGGTTCTGAGATAAGCAAAACTGGCATTAATTTAGTCCACTACTTTTTTTAGACGCCGTGACTGACGAGTTTATAAAGAACCTCGCTCGCAAGCTGCCTGGTGAGTCCTGGCGGCGTCTGGGCATCGCGTTGGACATGTCCCGGACCCAACTGCAGGCCATTGGAGGTCGCGCTGAGTCCTCCGGCAGAAACAAGGCTCTCACGACGCTCAAAACGTGGATTAAGAACCTCGAGCTTAGGGTAGACAGAGTAAGTTTGAAGATAACACGGCGATAACACCACCATCGACCTTTAGATCACACATGCAGCCTAAGCGTGATTGCGATCGCACCGTTTTTCATAAAACACGCCATAATCAGTAAGCTCCAAAAAGAGATTAATTCTTCCAAACCACCGAGATTGGGGATTGGCAACAGAACTGGAGGTGTTTGTTTAGTCAAAAAGTAGTTTGAACATTGGTTAACCTAAAGCTCGCACCGAAGTCGCATCCAGTCCAGTGGCTGTTACGCATCAAGGTGCTTGAAATTCAGGCCACAGAAATGTGGAAGAACTACTGGAAAACCTGTTATGCATGATCACGGATGGTTCAAATTTTCGCGTTTGAGAGACGGTGGATATGTTGGAGCAGATTCTCAAAATCTCGTGCCTAGTTTGACACGCGGCAAACCCAGTAGGATACAAGATTACAATTTATTTCTTTGCACAGGCGTGTAAAGATAATAATAGCGATAATAGAAGACGAAGACTTGGGAGCACGACTTGTGCAGGACACCTTGTCGATGAGGACTGCAGATATGTCAGCAGGATAGATCGCCTGGCAGAATTGAGTGTGATCCTCCTAATGAACGATTCAATGGAATTTAATGGACGTGTGTTTGCGTAAATAGGCAGGTCGGTTGGCGGAAAAAGTGGCCTTCTGCGTGACTCCAAGTAAAGGCGATTTGACGGCTCATGACAAATTTCAACATGACTGTTCAGTCTAACTTAAATGCTGACACCCGTTCGTTGTATAGTTGCACTTACAGCTTCGGTAAACCAAAGAAGCACAGTTGCGATTTCCCGGTGACTTTACTTCACTCCAAATTCGATTAGAGAATGTCTAGTTTTTTACTCCACTACAGGCCGCCAATCAACAGACCAGCACGACATGATCCAGACTAATTAGGTGATCTGCATAGTAGACGCAGACTGATAACTTTGCAATGCTCAGCCTTACTGACCGTGTTGTCACCTTGCAGGTTGCGAAGCTCAAAGCCGCACTAATGACAATAGGCCGAGGCGACCTGGCGTCTGAGCTTCAGATGGCCAGGGAAAGAAGAGGCGAACTGACGGTGACCTCTTCCGTGTCCAGTGAGACGCCGCCTCTCCTCAAGTCGGCCAGCGCCGTCCCTTCGTAATGCACCAACAACGCCACCGAAAGCGCATTAGATACATTTCTTACAAAAAATAAGATAAGTACCCCCACACACACACAAACGGCTTCTCATTCGAGTTCAAAAGCAATTATGGCCTGGGACAAGGCGCGCACATAAGCAAACTAATAAGTTGGAATCGACTCCCGGCATGGCAAGTGTTTACCCCCTAACTCCAGGACTAGAAACATAAGATGATGCGAGTTGTGAGGTACACCTAAAAGGGCTAATTGAAATAAAATGCAACAGTCTGTTTTGGATGCGAGCCCCTAGACACAGGCTAGAAATGTTAACGACCCGCATGCTCACTAAGTAAACACGCAGACCAATCTCAATAAGGCCTTAATTTGAAGGGATGGTTGCTGATTGCATCGGCGTTCTCAAATAGGCAAGACAGAGTAGGTATCGCTGCTGTACAGAGGGTCCAGGTAAACACGGAGAACAACACTGAACCACAGTTTGAACAAGAATTGGCTTGTTGGCTATACAAATAAGCCTCTTTACATACGATTCGACAGTGTGGACAAAGATATATCGTGTTCGACCACACTTAAGTTAACCGAGGGTATAAGAACAAAGGAAGAGCGAGTAAATCAATGTGAAATTAGACGGACGGGAATGGTCGAAAGTGTGTCGGACTGGCCGCGTTGTTCGGACGTTCCTAACCGTATCTTTCCTGCAATAGAAGACAGCAAAAGGATAGTTTGATTTTCTAGCTTGACCCTCCTCGATGTCACGCAATAGCTAATAGACAGGAAATTTGCTTAAGCTCTCTCAATACCCTCAACAGACGGTAGAAAGAAAGGATGGAGGAGTTACCTGAAGTTGAGTCATAAAGTCACTCGCGATGGCAGAAAGACGAGTTGCCACTTTGGTGACGCCCTCGCGAATCCCCTCCTTGAGAGTGTTCAACTCTTCCTGGTAGTCAGAGTGGTACCTTGGCTGTGGCCGACCAAAGTACTCATCGCTCGACAACGCGTTCCGGCCTTCGAACCGCGCTTTGTCGAATTCCGTGTTCTACGTAAATGGATCAATGAGTCCGGTAACTTGTCCAGCATACAGTTTGCGTCAAAAGCAGAATGGAACTTTACAAAATGATTAAGGCTACAGTTGTCAGTGGCAAATCGTGAATCACAAATACCTGGTTGCCAAAGTCGAAATCAGCGGAAGAGATGGACTTGGCGTTTTTCAGTTTGGCGAGCATCTCATCGGAGAGCGGGACCTCAGCCGTGGTTGGCGGTGCTGCAGGACTTTTACCAGTGGATTTGGTCTCGGGGACTGTGCTTGTCACCCTGCCTGATCGATAAGTGGGATCGGAGAGGAGATCGAGGAGACCGCTGCCGGAGGACTGATTGCGACTTCCGCGCGACCTGAATGGATCCTGGTCCCAACTCTCCAGACCACCTCTAGCTTTGGTGGAGGACGACAACGCCCAAATACCTTCTCGTGTCACATAAAAAAAGAATAAGGCCGCCATAGCGATGACAGCAAATAGGCTTAATGCTGACGCACTAAAAACAGTAGCAATTTAAGCATTTGAATACAAAACGCTTGTTTAAGGCGCTAGCAACTCAGAAGGCAATACCGATTTCAGTTTAAATAGTAAGGGGCCTTCTACCAATCAAAACTAGATTTGAGTGGCAATTAGGGTAGTGAGCCAAGGAGCAAACATGAAGCATGGCAGAACAACTAACCAAAGTCACTGATCGGCTCCTCGGAGTTTGCGAAGCCGCCACGAGTTGGCTTTCGGTTGTCACCGTCCCGGTCAGTCGCATCTTCCTGTCTGATGGCCAAGTCACTGATGGCAGAGTGGCCAATTGCCCTAAAAAGGAAAATTGCGAATTACAAGCAGACCACCCACTCGCAGTTAATTCCACGGCTTCCACACAAATAAGCATCCGGCAGGCAATTTAAGTGCCATGGCACATCCACGTAGTGGAACAATGAGATCACCATAGACACAAACATTTGTGCAGAGTAGTTACACCGCCAAATACATAGCTGCGAGAACTTCGGTGGGTGCGGTTTTGAGTAGTGACAAGGAGCATTACTAAAGCACCACAAAAGTTATTAGACCACTAGATTCGACCCGACACCCACACAAAGCTCACGATTGCAACGCAGTTCTTGATAACTCACATGGACTATCACCACTACCAACTACATTGACCCAACCTTCTAAAATTTACACTTGCACGCATAACTACAACCTGCTAGCCCAGTCGAGTCTCTGTCGCCCTTGGTCTACCCCTTCTTTGACGGGTTGTTAAATTGCAAAGTGAAATGAGGACCAGGGAAGCAGAAGAAAAAAGTCTGACCTTGTTCTTCCGGCAGCAACAGCCCCTATGCCAAGCCGCTCAAACTGCTGCGCCCGTTGGGGACTCATGGAAGCGGTGGAATCGGTTTTCTCTTTACCAGCCTCTTGAATATCGTGATAGGCAAGTCTCAAGGAGGCGCTAAAGGCAAAATAAATAAAGGTTACATTGACACCAGAAAGCACGAATTGGCTGTCCTATTAGAATGAATGGTGGAGTAGCCCAAGTTTAAAGCCAGATTCAAAGAACCGCTTGTGCCTATTAACACCGATAAACACGCTAAGCAGTCCACATAACAGTCTAACAGAATAGTGCTTCAGCTGCATGCATACATTCGGCTTGAAAAATGGCAATACCTGAGGGAATTCGTCCACTTACAGCATAGAAAACGTGGATGACATAAAGAGCGAGAGTGCTACTAGAGGCAGAAGCTATAAGCGGCATGGCTTAGTAAGTTTCTTTGCAAATTATTTGACAGATAAGCATGTGCCGCTTGCTAAATTAGACTCTCGTCGATCTGCAGTTTAAAAGTATCCAAAAAACGGTGCCTGACGGGGTCAAAGGATTGTTGAGAGAACGTTACGGGGAAAGCACTGTATGTGGTGGCAAAGCACTGTGACTTTTGTGACTGAGAGCATTCTTTGGAAAAATAAGACAACAGGGGGTAATTACATTCGTTGGGTCTCGGCTTCAATCGACTCAGCTGTTCCCTTTTGGTTCAGTGCGGCTTTCTGCTGCTGAAGCCGTTCGGCTTCCGCCGCGGCTGCCTCAATGGCTGCAAAGTCCGTCTTCACTTTGGTTGCGCCACCGAAGCCCCCGCCTCCACCTGCTCGTTTCTTTGGCTGCTTTGTCCTTCCGAACTTACAAAAGAAAAACCAGCTTACGTTTAAAGGCCTTCTAACGCTAGGGACACACCATGCGACAAAAACCAATGAAAGTTGCAAAAAAATTACAGCAGCGTGTCTAAGATTCACGCATAAAACAGTATTGAAGCGTAGTACTCAATAATAGACCACTATGTTCCCAATTAACTTCAAACATAGTCGCACAAGTGTCATGTTGACAACATCACATTTGTCTGGAGACGATTGGAGGGGCTACTCAACCCGATAAATTAACATCGCAATAGTATCGTTAAGAGGTTTAATACATAAAACGATGCTTGGAAGCACTGAGGCGTTAGAAAATATTGGATAAAAATTGATCCTAGGGATATCAGTGAAGAAAGACTAATTAGACGAGTCTGCGATAAGTAAAGAAGGGAATTACACTTTTGCGAATCTGCAATTACATTATGTATTCACTCATCATAATGAAATATCTCCTATGCATTCACAAGGAGTCATAGGACGTTGAGACAAATGGAATTAATGCAAAAAAATTGGGGCCTTGGAGCTTCTGCAAAGCGGAAAGACGAAAAAAATGACAACAGACAAAATGCAATAGTGGTAAATAGCCGGCTCGTAGGCAAGCGAAAATAAATCTTCCATACCAGGCCAAGAAACCATTGGTTATTATTAAGACATGCAGCACTAGAACGCCAAAGTAGCTTTAAAAATACATTTACGTATGAAATTACGTAAAACTACAAGCACATGGAGCAAAAGAAAACTTTAATTGATGATGTTAATGACACGAGTCGAAATGTGACGAGGTGAAATTCACACCAAGCACAAAGGAATGCGACTTACGCCACTTGATATATTTTTTGCGACCGGCTTCTTCCCAACTGAATGACCTGGTACATCTGAATTATTGATGCCAACATCAAGGTTTTGTTGAGTATCTAAAAATTTGGCCAGAATCACGAAGTAAGTAACTTATTTACGTAAAGTTGCGTACTCATGATTTGTAAAGAACAGCCCCTTTTGTTCCTTAAGATGACATATTTAGAAGAGTACTTTGGGGTAGACAAACTCATTTTTTCTACCAAGGATATTTCTAATGACTCCACAATTCATAAAAGTCGAAATTGGCGAAAATGCCTCCAGATAAATGCTAAAAGCATTGGTCAAAATTAATGCAGAGTTAATAAATAAGCAAGAGTTCGATAACACCCAAGCTACCGATTCTAAGTGAGCAATATTAAAAGGAACAAATGGTAAAAAAGGACCAAGCACGATTGTCAATATAAGTACTTAGGTCGCAAGAAACAGACTGTGCACGAAAAATAATGTCTTGCCGTTTGCTTTGACGGTGAGATCCTTCGTGGTGCTAAGACCGCTAAGGGTCATTCCAGATAAATCCTCTGCCCCAACGTCTTTAGTGAACTCCTCGAAAAAGTCTTTCTCCTTTTCCTGAACAAGTGGTTTTTCTTCTACTTCAAACAGAGGCTGCGAAATCAAAATATGCAAATTCCTACCTGTGTTCCATACATTTTCATAGCTTCGCTTGCGAGTCTTTCAATTTTCACTCTATACAAGCGAGCCGCTCTGCTATTGTATTTCTGCTTAATATCATCAAGCACACCCGAATGCTGCTGGAAAAAAGATGTCTGAAGAGAAATTTTGTGGACTGATCAACTAGAATTGAATGCATACTGCTTTGGCATTCCCGCCGACTTGCATAGCACGGAGTTGCTCCCATGTCCAACTTGTGTCCAACTGTGTGGATCGAATGAAACTGAGGTGAACTCCTAATGATCTGTGAACGGCTGAACAGTCAATGCAGACAAAAACACCATAGGTAACACTGGCCCATGTAGGGTTTCCAGAATGACAGTCAAAGCAAATCTTAAACCGTAAGAAAAATTTAGCACTCACCTTATTTTCTGGTTTTGAAAGCAATGAAGAAAGTATGAGATTAATATCGTCTTTCGACGGCACAGCCATTTCACTGCACACAAGACTGACGTGTAAAACGTTATCCCGTGATTTCAAATTTCCCACGGAGAGATGACATCAGTTGCATTATATTCATGAAACTTTGAAAAATAATTTTAATGTCCTAATTAAATAAGTTATTATTTCCAAAAAAAATTCAATATCTTACAAGATTTTCAAATCTCATGTTATTGACATTATGCAGCCCCATACCAGAAATTTGAATATGTCGGAGACTCATTCCATAGGTTTATTGCAAGAAGGGAGTATATTGATTACACAACATAGCTCTGACCGTCATGTAGTTTGGAGTTGATTTAACTTTCAGAATAATGACGCAGCAGTAATTCGTTGAAAATTTTGACGAATCAAGCAATACTATTTTACGGCATAAAGAAGGTCTCTGTTGCAGGTATTATATCAATTGTGAACTTGATGTGCTCAAGAAAGACAAATAGGCACTCTAAAATTCTAGCATACGCGCTGACGATAACATGCAGTAAAAAATTACTTAAAGTTTAATCACGAACTAGCTTTCATATCGCCTTTTGGTTTAGAAAGTATCTGGTGCCTATTAGCGGCAAAAAATTCGCAAATCATGTAAGTATAATCATTTTACTCAATTTGCATATGATGGAGAACTCAGTTACCTTGTAACTCAAAAAGATTATCCAAATAAATTCGAGCCAAATAATCGCCCTATTTAATGATTTCGAGGATTTTATCCTAATGTCTCTTGCTGTATAATTTGCCAATTAGAACAGATCTTAAACTATTATAGACTTAATAAATGAAATTTTATTATTGTTGTTATTATTAGGAATGGAAAGCATAAAATGTGAAATTGGTTGGTTATTTCCGAATTCCAAACATTTTAGCCACTCAAAAAGTAATTGGAGAATGTGGTTTGAAATTGTTAACAGCGCACATCAAACCATGACCGCAAAACATCTGGTTAGATTTGATTGCAGTTAAAGTCGGAATCGTTATTTATTTTGGAACAGACTGGCACAAAAATTAAATATTTTAAACATCATCCGTAACTTTAGTATTACCATTTTATTGAAAGAACATATTCTCGAAACATTTATGACTTTTACAGGGATCATTGAAATTTTGCAAAAATTAAAAAAACTTTTGTCTTGAGACTCTAGGGTATAATGAGTCCATACATAGACGCTTGTTCCTTCAGCTGTTAAATCGACAATTTCCAAGTTTCCTAAACTATTGATGTGTTAGCTAATGGTGGGGAAACGGTGAAAAATAATAGACCTTACTTGTGTGACAAAACTTTCAATGATTATGAACGAATAAGTATAGGAACGTTCAAATCAAGGCAGGTTACCTCAATATCAGTAAGATTTTAACCTCTATTTTACTGTTTGAGTAGTGCTGTTGTTCCAAATAACAGACAGATTCGCACAAAGTGGGTTTTGGGTCAACGCAGTCGTTAATGGTTCCGACACTCATTATGTAATTGACAGGCACAAGGGTATTAACAAAGCAATGGAATTTCTCTTGACTCAGGCTTAAAAGGTTCCTCAAAATTTGGAATGACACGTTCTAAGGAAGCCGAAGACGAACGAAATTGCTTTTTTCTGTTAGCCATTCACCCACTGCGCTCTACCATCTCATAAATGCAGATTGTGGAGCCAATTTTCGAGGTTTCTGTCAGAAAAGGCAATGGGAATGAAACGCGAAAACGGCTTTCTGGGCTAACTAAAGAATGGAAAATATAGAACCGTTTATTTGTATAATGAATTTGCACACACAAGTGACGCTAGTAAGTGTAGTTGATGTTACGAAAATTTTTGCCACACTAAACTACGATGTTGCTTTTAGTTTGCTGCAAAAACCCAACAAATTGTAGCTTTCTGGAAAATTTTCGGCGGATCATTGGAAAAAGAGAACGCAAAATTATGGGCACGTGAGGCTAAGTTCTTTTGCCAAGGCGAAGTCTCAGACGAGTGAGGAGTACCCTATTGTATCCAGGAATGCAAGTTAAGTTTTGGGAGATGTCCGCATAAGCTTTGACTCGCTCTTTCAACCACTGCTCTTGAAATGACCCAACTGACCTAAGGACAAAGCATAAGCCACTCAGTAGTCAGTTATTACTTCATATAAATTGTCAGTAAACTATAGATTTATTCATGAGATGACTGTAATTTTAGGCTCTTTGTTGGCCAGAAATAAGTCCCTTTAGTCGCACACAAATACCATCGCTTTGACGGGCGGTTGGCATTGATTGTTTTCGCGTGGCACGTGTAGTATGACCTGAATGGCGGATTCGCAAAAGACACCTCCACTGGTAGATGTCTTCGTGCCAAAGCCACGAATCTCGGAGGATTCCTTCGATGAATTGCCCACAATGGCTTTCGAGCCCTGCCTCGTGGCACCCTGGCAACACCGCTCCGATGGCCACCCTGTGGAGATCCCTATTTGTTTTGGTGGTCCAGTGGTGTGTCTACGCGACCTTCATGAGAAGCAATTGGCCGAAGGAAACAGCTTTTTGGATGAGTACAGTTGCCTCGACGCACAAGCTCTTGAAGACTTACATGAGGAGGCAGAAACCTTGGCCGATTGGCTTATTTACGAATGCAATTCTTACGAAGAGTGTCGCTGCAAACTAATCCGCAAGACTCCACTGCTAGTCTTTGAGACAATCTTGTGTATTCTTGGTCGAATGGAGGCGCCAATGTTCCCTCTCTCTGAAAGAACTTGCAAACTTCTTCAGCGGCTGTCCCTACTTGAACCAGTTCACCCTCATAGTACGAACATTGCTCAGGTGATTTACGACGAGGCCATGTCATTTTGTGCAGATCCGGATTCTGATCGAAATACCGTTTCTACTCCACACGTCAAGTCTTCCAGCCTTTTACCGCAAATTGTGAACTTTATTGAGCAGACTTACAGCTGCAATAACGTCTCCCGACAAGACAGGTTGCGTCTTGTTAACATATTCAACAAGCGTCTATTCCAGGATCTATACATGGTGATGGAAGTTAAGACACGTAACGTCATCCGATTGCTTATTCGTGGTCTCTTTTTCATTGTCCGACGATATGCTATCACAATGTGCATCGATTCAAAGGCTAAACAAGAGGAAACGTGGATGATTAATACCATTATGACGCGACCACACATCTTCCAGTACGCAATCGTCACCATAGCCGAGAAGGTGGGGCCTTTGCTCTTTCGGTTTCCGCTTTTCACGTGTTTGCAGCAAGAACTGGCTGTCAGGGTCATTGTCAACATATTCTGCTCCAACACTGACCGAATGTGGTATCCAGGACAACGAATATCCGATATTACGATCGACACAGGATCTGCTAAATGTCATCAAGGATGCAACTGTCACCACGATGCATAATCTTCCGGTTCTGCAATTCACAGAACCAATCTGAACTCTTAATTAGTTCTTGTACCAGCATATTCTTTTCGTAATAGAATTAACTGGTCTGATCCATGGCAAACCATCCTAGTTTACTTTAATTTTAAAATATAATGTGGATCTCTCAAGTATTTTCACTGAAAAGTATTACAGTTTAATCTAGGTGATTTCGAATAATAGAACTGTTCCTTGGAGGCAGGTAGTATTTTCTCAAAATGCTACTAATTTTCAAACGTCACTGCCTTGTGTTCGGAAGAGGGTGAAACGTTCGATGTTAAATGACCCATAAAGGGCAACAATAAGGATGAGGAGCAATGAGGCACCTGAAGTTAAAAACCATCTGCAGTTTTGGCTTGTGCAGAGCTCGATGTGGCTTTTAAATGGAGGTATTTTTTTGGAATTAATAATGGTTGTGTCAAAGGTATAACTCTAACTCAACAATCTCTCCTGGTAGAATAAGGCAAATGTGCATGCTACTTAAGTCAGGCAGGAGAAATTGCTAGGGCTAGTAGCTATGGTAACAGCGTCGCACGTGTAGTGTGAGACGTCGCAGACCTGCAACTTCCAGCATTATTCAAAACGTGCTCTACAACTTTCAAACCAAAATAACCAGTTATTATTATTATTATTTTAAGTATAGTGAATTCCTATCACTCCAACGTAGGTTGCTGCCTACACTGATAAGATGTCCGTTACATTCGAAAACTCATCGTACTGTAAAAGTCCTTAAAGGGAGTTAGACAAACGGCATGTGCACACACGGTTTTAATTGGCCAAACATTCGAACCACTTATGTGGTCGCATTCAAGAACAGCCAATCAACAGAGGCTAGTTCGATCATGTTGTGAGATCGATTAGATTGCGTGTCGCTTTTCCGACATTTCGAACAGTGCTGCGGAGCTAAACTCGTGCACAAATAGTAAACTTTTTAATAAAAAAACATGAGGAAATTTGTACTGGCTTTACTAGCAGGACTATGTTGTCTCTATTCAGGTAAGTCTATATCACTAAGTGAAATATGCTCTCATATTTAAGCTGCCACACTCAAATGTGTCGTATGCAATTCACTTATGGATGGAAAGACGTGCTCAAATTGGGACACGCTAAGTTTCATCACCGAATGTGAAGATGATGGTGCGGGTGGAAATAAAACCATGTGCGCAAAGATTGAGCAATTCAGTAAGTCCATTTTCATTTTTTTAAAATTAGGTGTGTATGCTTGCAGCTAATTTTAATTACTTGTGAATTCCCTAAGTGAACAGTTTTGTTTTTTCTTGCCATATCTAGAGAAGGTTCTAGTCTGTGAAAATCGCAATATTCTTTGTAATTTCAAAGAACTTTTGCGATGCGGTTAAAAAGTGCTTTTGTTTGTGGCAGAGATAATAGGAGCGTTTTACTGTGTTCCAACAAAAGTTTGCCTGGTGTTGGCACTGGCCCCTAATAACACGTTGTTTCGCGAACTTGTTGCTCTTCTGCTTCAGCTAAACAAAAGTTTGGTAAAACTCAAGGAATAGGATAGATAGCCAAGCTCTCATGCAACGCCGATGCTGTTGTTTTCTATCGTCACATCGATTAGCTGGTAAAAGCAACCAATACTCAACAAGGACCTGAAGTACTCACGGACACAGCATCTTAGTCTGCACAAAACTCAACACAAGATTGTAAATAAACTTTTTAGAAAGTGAATGCAGAAATTTTGTACTTAACAATGCTGACATGTCTATAAGTCAAAGGAAATATGATGTTGAAAGAGAGCAAATTTTAGCAAATCTTTACGAACAGCAATTTTAATACAAAAGGTTACCATTTTAACCATGAAGACATATTAAAAAGTACCAGCACTTGGAAGTAAAAGCAGCACAGTTAATTTAAAAAATGATTGCCTTTGTGGTAATATTTAGCCCACAACGTATACTCTAGATATTCCATTCGAAAAACCTTATGGAATGTTGGATAATCAAGTGTACGGCCAGCACAGTAATGAAACTAAGTTAGCAATCGATTTGCTGCAACTGAAATCATCGCTACTTTTTGCGCAGCCAATAACCATCGGAAGTTAAAAGTATTTCAAGTATAAGTTGATCAGAATACCATTCAGATTTGCAACATTGACATCTGCTACTGGGTGCTAAAACGTGCCCCATCTTCGAAAAAAGTACAGCCTTATCTATCGAGCCTGTTCAGTGGTTAGTTAAACGGGTTCACGAAACAAAGGAACCTATAAACAGAGGTCAGTCTCAGGTGACCCAGTTAAGGAAAGACGGTTGTAATAGAAAAGTGTCGAGGTGTGTGTGTGTACGGGTTCAGGTAACCAATGTAAACAATTTCAATTTCAAATGTTTACGCTGGCTGTCAGCGGTCAGTGCACGTGGGCTTTGTGTGACACTGCCAAGGCAAAGTAGTGTATCACTTGCAACTTTTGCGAGGTCTAATCCTGTTTTAGCGGATAAATGAACGGTAAAATTGGAAATGACCAAACTCTTGTTTAACCACTGGTCCTTAGATATTTTAAAGATTTTAACGGATTCAATTAATGGGAATGCAAGAGAATTTGTCCACACACCAACAATTCAAATGAAAAATAATGAATTTGTCTGCATTTAAACATGGTTGCGTAGATGGGAAAGTTGTTTTTTTCAAGGCGGGCATACCAACTTTTTTTATTATCAACCTCAAGTACCAATATTCTGGCTGAAAACATAAAAAAAACGAGTATCTTTGAAAAATGGTAATGACCTCATCTTCATGGTGCACTTTTGAGACTAATTCTGGACTTATTGTAGTCATGATTTCTAGCCAGTTACTGCTCAGTAATTAGGTTGAACTTAGCATAAATAGTTTGCCAGCCACCATGTTGAAATTTGTCATTCCCTGTTCTGTATCTAAGTAAAAAATCACCGGGATAGAATCTCTCGCAGTAGCCTGGCTGTTAGTCGCTTGTTGTTGTACTGTTAAAACTGCCACTGGCGGACCAGAAAATGAGGCCTTTTGTGCAAGCGTGATTAGATATCCATTTGAGAAATCTCCGGTCAAGAATACTGCGAGTTTTACAGGACCACGTACTATCAGTCGTGAAACTACAATTTTTGCCTACAACGAATTCACAAGTGTCTGCTTAGTCTCAATTCTACACCACATTACAGTGAATCCTTATTTCCCCCTTTTTTAAGTAACAAGTCCTGTTGCTACTTATTCAACAAAAAAGTAATTAGCTTTAAAAATTGACAGATTGTTAAGATGTCTTGGATGGAAGTTTTATGTCATGCGAGGGTGGGTTTGTCTTTTGTGTGTTTAAAGGCTTGAATTTTAAGTCAATGATGTGGGATCAAGTGAAACAGCAGCCCGTTTAAAGAATCTACATAGTTTAGCAAGATCAGAGATTATAGTGTTCGGCGAGTAAATAGTAGGTTGTGAATAAATGTAATTCTAAAAAAGTCCCACTTAGAGGTGGTTCACGGCTGTGCTCTTAATGTTCTCAACTCATGTACAACTATTCAGGCTTTGTCGTCTCGATACATCTGGCATCTCACGAAGGGTTTCACACCCCGCAGTAGATAAATTGTGCATGCCTTTTTCCGTGCATTTACAGCAGAGGGAAGAAAACGAGTGATTCGCAAGTGCAGCACAGCGGACACCGAACCGGGCTGCATACGGAGAATTGCGTCCGACAACATGCCAATCAGACATTGCCACTGCAGAGAGCCCCTGTGCAATCCCGCTTCGCACCCCACTCTGAGTCCCTCGTTGATTGCGTCGACCCTCATTTGTCTTCTTGGCGCGTCGCTGTGGATGTAAAGAGGGCAAATCCTCACTTTGCGCTGAGAACTACTTGATTATTTTATTGTACCTCCAAATTCACACTCATTCCGTCGAGAGACCTTGCTAATTGCAACAATCATTGCGTGTTATTTATGGTATTGTCAAATTTGCAATATTCCAGAGCTGTTTCTACCACCTAATTTCTGATTTGTTAGTTTTTTGTTTACATACCTCGATGTTACTCTAACTACTTCTTGTCCCGTAGAATTCTTCAGTAAAGTTTGCACAAGCATTAAATTTGTAATTTTTAATGGACCAAATAAAAGAAGTGCTTTTGCGTAGATTGAGTTGATAGAGGAACTTGTAATGGCCGCTATTTGAGTGACGAGTGTTTAATGTGTACAGCAGATGCAAAACACGTTTTAGTGGGCAGCGAAATATTATGCGGAGAGCAGACATGAGAAGCATGAGCGTTATCGTGGTGAAGTCAATATGATATCAAAAAAATTTGGTTTGATTGCTACAATATGCAAACACTGATTTATTATCTGCAAAAAATTGGGCACTTTGGCATAAATAGGTTAATGTGAACGCCAATAAACCAATCAAAGCATCACAGAGCATACAGCTAACCTTTGTAGATAGTTGGATGGTACTTTTAACAACAGCTTATCTCGGTAAGTGGGAAAACAACGTTTGCTGTAACGATGTTTATTAGCTAAGGACGAAAACTATTAACATGAAGCAGTGGTGGTTGGCCATATATTTTTAAGCAAGAAATCTTGATAAGAGTTGACTAAATTTAGGCGAATCCAATAGTCATTGAGACGGTACCACTTTCGTCGAATAGCCCCGCAGTCAACTGATGGAGAGTCTGATTTTAACTGGAAAAATAATCTAGATCTATTCTACATGATTGTCACTGGACTCAAAAACGCAGCGGCACTTAAATTAGTTTCGTCCAAGGCAAATTTAAACACTGAGTTATATTCCCAAATAAGCCCTAAACGAAGTAAAAGCTGGCACAATAACCTAATACGCGGCATTCTAAGTATTTTGAATGTATCTTTAAAGTTCACGATACGGGATCCCTTTACTTGGACATAGACTCCGCTGATTCTTCCATATCTACCTAAAATTGTTTGTGATCGAAGAAGAAGGCTACGCATGTTTTGTTTTATGGAGAAAGAGGCTGACTAAATCTTAAGGCTGTAGGTAAACACGTCCGTTTCTAATATTATTTGGCCTAAGCGAAGTTGTTGGATAATTTTACCTCGGTTTTTAAGTTGATCATATTGCAGAATAGTGTGTTAATGGTGTATTATAAGCCAGTGTAATTGTTCCTCAAATGCTTGAAAAAAACTGACCATATCTCAGAGAAGTATCTATTTGGCTAGTGATTAAATCAAACTAGGAGATGTCCTAATGGTGCAAGTGCTGTTCAATATTAATTCATTCCTCCACTTTTGTGCTTCAATGGTTCTTTTAGAGACATTTTGATCAGAATAATACAAAAAAAATGCGTGTGACCAAGTATGAGTTAGTTTTAACACAAAGATCAAATGCTCGCAAACTAGGTTTACAGATATAATCTAGGAATATTTTAAAGAATAACAAATAGATCCATCATTTCGCAGTCCGTTCTGCTGTTTTAAAGTTAATGCTGATATTAGTCAATAAGGCGGCCTTCAATTTATGTATCCATGTATTGAAATTTCCTTATATCAAATCCAAAGTATTTGATATCTGTTGGTAGTTAAAAGATATTGGCAGTTTTTAGTATTCCTGAAACAGCAGTGCGCTTGAAAGCATAGACAGCCTATGATTCCTAATGGATTGAAGAAAGATACCATTACAACATTATCTGAGGCGGATAGTTAAATTGTTAAATAATTACAAATGAATAAAGTTGGCTCAGTGACTGGATATTAGTTTACTTACTCCCCATTTGCTTCACACAAACTTTTTGACCACGTAGTCAAATAAATACTTGATAGTTTCTTGTAGCCACCAATGCAACTTGGTGATTCACAGCCTGTGATATTGTTACTTATCTTTTATTGACTTCGTGGGTTGTGAGGATGAGCATGGTTATGACGCAAAACGATGCTTCATGGCCTCAATATGACTTTACGACGATAATGTCCACATGAATGTCACCGAAGACCAGATCTGAAATGTGAGACTTCACACACCTAATCATCGTTAAACACTCGTTAAACGTACTGCCTGGTTTTTTTCTAGCCTTACTGAGAGGCAGAAATGTGACCTTTTGCAAGTGCACTCTCAGAATATTAAAAACACAACACTTGTAAGCGTCTATTTTTAAAACCGTCCATGAGGTAGTGGCATCCGTAGTGCCCATATTTTGTAAAAAGAAATCTCGGTTAAAAATATGGGAAATTGAGTGACGGTGTCAGACTTTTAAAGCTTGCCACCTATTCGCGCATCTGGTATCTGTAAGTTTTCTAGCTGGTAAATTTGTCCATAACTAGTAAAAAATGATTGTACAGTCACACCATAGTTCAATTTGATGCAAGTTGTTACGCCAAGATTGCAGAGATAAGTATAATGCAAGCCATTAATTTGTTGCGGGCCCCAGCGCGTGGTCTTGAACCACGCCGGGGCCACTGGGTTGGATCTGGCCCCTATTGCACTCCCCTGTTACACGTAATGACGAAGTAGACAGGAGAGGACATGGATACAGCCGTTTGCTCCAGAGCTCAACCTCGTTGGTGTTGTTGTGTCGTGGGTGGCGTTTGCGCGTAAGAACTTTTACCGCAAATGTGTGAGTCATAAATGTGCCAGCATCGTGACCTGGGTGTGAGGATTACCCGGGATAACCGTTCACACAAATGACGGTGGAGTTGAGGGTCCACGCGGCTGACGACGTGCTGCGAAAGGGGAACCCTGTGTCCGAGGCTAAAGTGACCGAATTGACAAGTGTGAATCAACGCGATTCAGAGAAAATGTTTGAAATTGTTTCAGATCACAGCTTGCAGGTTGTTAAGGCAAAACCAATATTTATCTGCCTCATAAGGACACTGAAACATTCAAATTACACATACTTAAAATTTTGACGATTAATGTCTGAATTCAACGCTTCCACCCAGTTCGGTTTACTGGCAAAACTAAATTTTAGTAATTGTTAATCGAGTTTTTGCTGAAACTAACAAAACCGGGTTGAGCAGGAAAAAAGCGTCCATGCGCCGATTTAATTTCCTCAAGTTTATGTAACACATGATGCCAGACCCTTGGGAGAACATTTTTGAGAGTTGATACAAACACACTCATTTGACACAACTCCACATTTATATTTAATATAATTGACCCATTGACATTGCAAAATAAAGCAATGTTGAGTACTACGACTTGTGAAAAAAACATTCTATTCGGGTGTTTATTCCCAAATGGAACTGCAACAAACCAATCAAAATAGAATAACAGACACTTGCATTTAGTTATCATATGCTTCCATTTATACTCAAATTTTTTCCCAGAATTTAGAGCTACCTAGCCAGCAAATACCCTCTCAATATAATGGCAAAAATCTATCGCAGAATTTTTTTTAATTTTAGAAATGATGGAGTCTAGTTAAATTTAGAACTAAAATTAGTGATAAAATAAATAAATTAATTCAGCGTGGTGTACTAATCATTCTGATGGGCATACCAACTAGAGCCAGCCAATGGTTGATCAGTCTTTCACAATCATAACACGAGCTCTGTCTCACGAAGCTGAATAAAATGTAATGAACGATGGCTCAGACGACCAACTGTGTCAAAAAGTCATGCTATTTGTAGACCGGGCTCTCAAAAAGGCTGATTGTAATTATAAGGTCGATGTTTTTGTCAAAGCCACCGAAAGCACCTGTTCAGTTCTGGGGCGCTAAAAATTTGCTTCCCACAACTTTCCTTTTGTTTTGTGCAAGATGCACTGAGATGTCAAAGATAGGTATCGAGGAACAAAGTCACGTTTAGCTAAAACAGGCTATCATGAATCTCTTTAGGCATTGTTAATCTTTTTTAAATAATACATCATATTACATAATCACACACAACAAATGTTCATTTCGTTTAGCAGCATGGGCATTTAACAACCGACATCATTCAGTAGTATGGAAAATTATTTTGTTTATTTGAAATTTTTTTTATATAAAACGAATGCGATTTGTTTAAATTTGGGCTGCCCTGTGTGTAAATAAGTAGACAGCCCTATGATTACAAACTACATAGCCGTTTACTTAACAGAAGTTATACATAGTCCTAATGGGAAAACTAAAATTGATTTATATTCGAAATCCTTCGTAATCTTAGGGTAGAGACACTTTATCTGCATATAAGAAAAAGTAAATCACGAGCATATGTACAGGCAAGGTCACAACGGCTTGACTGATTTTAAAATTAAAAAATGGAGATAATATTATACAATGGAAGCAATTACAAAACTTTATAAAGACTGGTGACCAAAGTGGCGAAATAAAATCTGCGTGAAAATGTAGCAAGATTATAATTTGTACAATACATTTACTAGGATAATTAATAGAAGTTTGATAGTTATCTGAGAAAGACTACCTCAGGTTAAAGGCAAACAATTCTCCATTTAGTCAATCTGTCATATCAACCGGCTGCATTAAAGCACTTTTTTCAGTTATTGGATCCAGTGTAACACGATTTACCACTTGTTGTTTAACTTTAATGCTGCAACTATCTTAATGGTTTTCAGGCTTGACTGTTTTAAACAATTAACTACAAAATGGTTTGGTCTTTTACATTCCTACAAGTTATGAAATTGAAAATTTAGATTTCGCCGCAACCTTTGCAGTTGGTATTTCATAAAATTTTCATCCAATTGTCAGGAAGCAGCAAGATATTTCGGAATTATTCAGTTTTTTTTATTTTATAAGTGGCAAGTAAAGTGCAGTCAAAGTACTAAGTACTTTAAAAGGACAGATGGTGCAAGCGATATTGGACGATTGTTGTCACCACCTAACAAGTTGTATGTGTTTTTCAAAAAAAAACCTAAAGTAAATGATT